ATGCCTCTTACAGTTGATGGTGCATCATCCGATGGGTGCATCTGGGGATGAACGGTGGTGTGCTGGCCTTGGGGGCAGGCAGCCCCTCCTGCAGTGTACTCTGGCAGGTCGCTTCACCCTGTCCTGCACTGCCTCTCCTGTGACATGTGATGACAGCGTCTGCTTCATAAAAACCCCATAGGGTTTATGGAGATTAATTGAAATACCTCTGTAAAGGCATGAGTCCCTGCATAGCACGTGTCTCATATGTGTTGGCTGCCATTATTATTGGGATTTGTGTCACTTCTGCAAACCTTTCAGAAGCCAACCATGGGTGGCATACTTCTAATTCTGGTCTGACCAGGTAGAGCACTGACGTGGCAAGCGCTGTGTTGGCATCTGTTTGGAGGACTTGCTGCAAGTGACAGCCTGGGCCTCCTACCTACTTGGCTTTTACAGGTGCCTAGGTGATTTCCTTTAGAGACTACTATTGAGACTTGTGACAGATAGGACACGGTTGTTTGTCATAGCGTATGTAGTGGGCTTCTTTTACATATCTCGGCTTTTCTGTGGTCTTCCTATGTTGTAGCTCAGGGGTCCTGCGGACAGCGCTGATCACCACGGGTCCGTTCTGAGACTTAGCCAAGCCCTGGGGAATGTGACTGTGGTCCTGAAAGGAGAACATGACGTGATCTCTGACGGCCAACAGGGTGAGTGGTGGCTTCCCTCTGCATGTCGCTGGCTCTGGCTCAGCACCATGTGTCCACTCTGGGTTGGCCAGTGTCCAGTCAGTGTGGCCAGGCTGGGTGTTACTGTCCACTCATGTCCATGCTAACGTCCACTCTGATGTCTGCCCTGTGCAGTGCTCACGTGCAGCCAGGAAGGCAGTAGCCGCAGGTGTGGAGGGCAAGGAGACCTCCTGTCGGGCTCCCTGGGCGTGCTGGTGCACTGGGCCCTCCTTGCTGGACCTGAGAAAACAAACGGGTATGGCCACATCCTCATTTATCCTGACTTGGAATTGTCTACTTTTAGTAAGCTGTTCAGTAGCTCATGCATTTAATATGTAGCCCTTGGAACATTCCAAGTGAACTCTCAGTGTTTCCTTGGAGAGATCCTAGGGCAGGGGTTAACCCTCCACTGAAGCTTCTGCTCTGGGCCTGTTCCTGGGCCCCATCTGTCACTGGGGTGGGGCCTGGGGCAACAGTGAGTCTCAAAGCACCCCATGTTGAGAACACTATTCTAGAAGTTCAGTGATCCACCTTATGTAAGACAAAATACCAAGACAGAAAACATGCAGGCTGAAGGCTTAGTTACTTGTCCTTAAAGATGTGAAATTTATTTAAGAGGCAGCAGAATTCTGAGATCTAGGCTCTGGACCCATTTCTGTCATCAGAGAGCTTTGTGAGCACAGGCAGTTCCCACACCTCTGCGCCTCAGTTTCTCTCTATAAACCCATCGTGGTGACCATGTCTGCACGTGCTGGGTGTGGTACACCCTGGGCCCTGGAGCGGGAGCTGGGGTCCGGCGGCCTCACTTGACACCTGCTGGTTGGAACACTACGGGGCGTGGCGTCTCAGCACACCTGCACAAGAGCACTGGTCCCCAGGGACCACCCCCAAACTGGGCGTGTCTGTGTGGACTTTAACTCTACTGGGACAGGCGAGAGAGCCGCTCTAGTTCCTCCCCTCCCCCAGGATATGTAATGGTAGCAGGAATCTGCATTCTCAGGCTCAGATGCTCCTCCCATGCTGGGAAGACTAAAGAGCACCGTTAAAACATGTCTAGCCTGTAAGTGCTGGGCTGGTTTTTGCCAGGGAAAATTGCTTCCCACTGATGTGTCCCACCGTGTCCCTGAATGGATATTTTCCCTATGCCTTCTGTCAGGGGCTTAATGGTTACTTTAGCTGTAATAAAGCTGCCTTCTCAGAGGCATGTCAGACTTGACATTGCCATTTTGGAGTCCCAGGGTTGAAATGGAGTCCGTGCCTATGGTAGCTGCGGCCCACTGACCACGAGGTGTCTGCGCCCACGGCAGCTTCCAGCTCACACCCTCCCCTTCCAGGTCCAGCCCTCTCCTGGTGGCCGCATTCGGGGCCTGTGCACTCACGAGGCTGTGCAACTACCAAGCCTTCCAGAAGCACGGCCGCTCCACCACCACCACTGACATGGTCGCCGAGGTGGGAGTCGCGTTCAGCAAACTCTTCGAGACCTGAGCTGGTGCAGACAGGACGACGACTACATTGCTGGGGGAAACTAATTTGTTATGAAAACATCCATATCTACATATGCTGAATCCTCAGGGTACCAGGCAGCACAGGTTACTTTTGAGGGTTCTTAACTGTAGCATAAATTGGTTGATATAAGAATTTAAGAATTCAGAAAATGGCAAGTTTGGGCTAAACTAATATGTAGCTGGAAATGTTACAATGACACAAATCAAAATATTTCTGCACTTTTTTTTAGCTTCTAAGCAGTAAGTGAGAAGAAAAACTGAATAACGTGAGAATGAAAAACTTTGAACAGTTCACCTGAATTTCTTGGCTTGCTCCAAGGTCGGCAGAGCTGTTTGTGGTCTCTACTTATTTCTTCTCATTCTCCTGGTTTCCCTTTACGAGGTGTTCCTGTCGAAGGCACCGGCCAGTCTTTCTCAGGGGGCCACGGGAACACCCACCGTGGTTTTTGACTAATGTCCACCAGAGGAGTTGGTGTTCGTTCTCCAGCTCATTCTTGTTTAGGTGGTTAGGTTGGAAACATCTGCGTGTTGGTTGTTTTGGTTAATTCATTGAAGTGTTTCAGAACAGTCAGTGGTCAGTTTATCTCAGAGATCCTTCTGTAGGCACCAGGGGAACAGAAGGAAACGTAAGTGACACTGACCCTTGAGGGGCCGGGCAGGGAGCTCTGAGACACCTGGCTGACACGCTCCTCTGTCTGTGCTAGACACGCTCCTCTGTCTGTGCTACACACGCTCAAGTCCTGTGACACTGCCAGGCCCCAGCTAGACAGACCTGACACATGGGGGTGCCGTCTTGGGAAAGGCTTTCGGAAGACTCAGGACTTGCTGGGTCTGGCGGGGCCTTAGGAGGCCTGATGACACTGTCTGCTTAGAAGCAGCATAGCTGTGTTCTCAGGAATATTTGCAACCCACCGCAGAAAGTAACTAAAATTTCAGTGAACATAACGTTTTATTATATCCTTAACCTCGGGTTAGCTTTTGTTGTTTGTGTGAATGTTTTTTGTAAAGCGGCCTGGGGCTTGTTCTCCGGTCCACGTCTCAGAGGGTTGGTAGCTGGTGTGCGTGGGGGTGCTGTTAGCCCCTCACCAGGGCAGGCCTGCCTGACTCCTCACAGTCTTTTTGCCCTCATGGTTGCTCTTGGGTGATGCTCTGTGACTTGAGCACGGGTACAGATGGATGCTACTTTCCTTAAAACCAGTCAGCAGTTTCCATGACTGCTACTATTAATTTCACTCTAACTTTAGAAGCTTCACTATCTACATGTGAACTTTTACAGAAAAACTGTGCCATGGACATTTTTCCTTTGGGGAATTACCTCTAAACTCTGGTAGCTATTAAAAGACAGATCTGGTTTATTTAAATGCAGTATTTTGTATTTTTTTCTTAAATAGCTAAAACTCACCTTTCAGTTTTCTGAAGTGTGGATATTGCCACACACTGAGCAGATGAAAATATCTAAGCCTTTCTGTCCAATATTGTGCTTGTCACAGTAGTGCCTCCCAATATTGCTACAGTTACTCGAAGAATAAGGCTGAAACACAGACATGTCTTTCCATCGGAAGTAAAATTAGCAAAGTCACAGGAAATATTCTCATTTTTTTTTACTTAAGTGTTTGCTCTGAATAAGTACAGAATCCCTTTGCTTAAAAGAGATATTGGGATTATATCCAGGTAGTCCGGGACTGTTTTTTGTTTTTAGAAATGAATTCTGCTGCTGAATGGTATTTTTTAAATGACGTTAATTGCTTCCCTGTTTTTTACAAACGTGCACACTCACTAGCGCCAGCTAAAGAGACGCTATGACCTGGAGCTTCCCTGGGACCAGGAGAGTGAAGAGGAAGTATGATTGCGTGGTCAGCGAGGTGGTGGGCTATTGGGGGACAGTCTGCCCCCAGGTACCGAGTAGCCGTGTCTGGGTGTCGCACTGTAAGGTAGCCTCTGGGAATCTTCCCTCTACGTTAATTCCCCGGGGGGGCGGGGGGTGACCTCTGAACTGCTGTTCTTATCTGTAGGCTGGGAAGAGCAGTACCTCAGGATCATGACTAAATGTCACCAAGGCTGTGCTCATCCCACAGCTGTGCCGCAGATCAAGAGGTGCAGCGCGGGACCCTGGGGGGGGGGGCTGCCGGAGCTGGGGAGGGAAGGAAAGGGCCACCTGGCTCCTGCGGGTTCATTTGGGAACTGTGGTCCTGACACAGAAAGGTGAGATTAGGAGTTCCGGACAGGATTGCTCCGGAAGGGTGGCCGCACCGCACACAGGGCCCCTATGTGGCACCCAGGAGTCCTGCCTTTGTCACATCTCCCTGTCTGGCTCTCACCTGACTGTCCTGACCTCGCCACAACTAGGGCCCGCCCTGCCCCCCCTGACCCCAGCTGGTCACAGCATGAAAGCCAAGGTGACACAAACTGTCAGGATATTAACTGCAGCGGGACTGCAGGGGTGCCACGTGTTTTCTGTGGCAAACACATTCGGTAATCGCCAGGAGGGAAGCCGCCTCATTAGCACTGCCTAACGCCTGCGCACGGTCTGTCCTCTGCTTTAGACTTGGCCGTGGCCAAGTCTAAAGCCCCATCCGCTTCCCTCCCTTTCCTGCTCTTCCGTGCCTCCGCCTTGACCCTTCCTTGGGCACAGGGGCCAGCTGGTCTCATGGCACACACGCCTGTCTGCTGGTCGGACTCCCGCTGGATAGCTGACGTGCTTCTACTAGACTCACATTAGCCCCTGGCCTCGCACCGTAGATTATAGACTAAACTTTTAGGCATAATCATTGACACCAGTGGGACGGTGTCGGTTTGCTCTGTTTTAATGCTGGCTGAACAGCCACAATAGAAACTTTAATATAAAGTTTGCATGGTAAGGAAGCACGGAGGCTGCAGCGTGAGCAGGCGGGCCTGGCTTCGCTCCATCAGCTCCCTGGTTTGGGGCCTTTTGTCCTTTGACCCAGCAGCTCCCACGTGGAGGCTGTACTGCTTCTGTCCTGCAGAAAGAACAGATCCCAAGTCTGACCAGATGCCATGGCACGTTCAGAGGGTGACGTCCAGCGTGCTGCCACCTGATCCTTAGATAACCTGGCCCTGAAGGAGGCAGCTGGATGCTTAAAAAGGGGACGCTGCTGCCCTTTGGAGAAAGGCCAGCAGGGCAAGGCAGGCGTGTGACCCGGGGGGAGGAGGGGAGTGGGAAAGGACCTGGGTCCTCATGAGACATGGCCCAGCCTGTGTCCCCCGCCCCGACATGCTCCCTGCCCCCTACCTAGCATCCCTCCAGCTCTGACACTGCCCCCACCAACGTCCCTCCGGATTTGCTGCAGGGCGGGTTTCTCCACTCACGAGGAAGCAGTCACAGGGGCCTAGGCCTCTGCCAGCCTGGTGTTTGTGTGACTCTGAGGACGTTCCTGGCTCCTGGGGTGATGGCCCCGGTGCCCAGGCCTGGGCAGCATGCTCACCTTGATGTTGATGCCATGGGCGGCGAGGTCCCGGCGCAGGGCATCGCAGGCCTCCAGCAGGGGCTGCCTCTCCTGAAGCTGCTGCTGTCGGGCCTCCCTGGTGGCCTCTGGTGTGGTCAGTGCGAACTGCCGGACCCTCTGCCGGAACCGCACCAGCTCCTCCACCACGCCGTGCAGGGTGGCCGCGCTGCTGTCTCCTGGAACACACTGAGCCAGGCGTGGCCACGCTGCCGGAGTCTGCGCAGGTGGCGTTTGCCTCCCTGGCAGGTTCTGGGCCGAGGCCCCAACGCTGGCCTCCTTCTGGGAATGGTGCAGAGCAGCCACACGTTTCCACTGTCCTCTTTCAACCCCGCGCAGCTGGCCAGCGGCCACGGGAGGGCTGGGGTACAGACGTGAGGGCCGCTGCCCGACAGGCGGGCACTTCCTTACGTCTGGCCGTGACGAATGCACACAACATTCAGAACCACAGAGACGCCCTGCAGGGCGGTGCGTGTGCACGTGCTGTTCCAGCTCCACGGTCTGAGGCCAGCGGCTCAGCGGCCCCGGACACCATGTAAATCAGGACTGCACAGGACCCTTCTCCCCACCCCACTTCCTCCTCCCATCGGAGAGCGGCCCTGGCAGCTGCTCAGGAAGGTGCGGGCGCGGCGCGGGCTTCCCAACGGCAGGGCCTGCTGCCAAAGAGGACTTTACCGGGACCAGGGCCGAGGCCGCTAGCGGGAGTTCGGCTGGAGCCTGTGTGCAGGAAGCACACCGTGGCACCAGGCAGGAGGGCCAGGCCGTAGCTTACTCTCAAATGGTTCAAGAAAAAATCTTAATCGTACATGTGACTTTTACATTTTGAGTCTTTCAAAATAAAGAACTGTGTGCAGAGCTGACAGAACACTGCCGCTGAGGACTGAGCTCTCTGCTCACAAGTGTTTGCCAGCCACAGAAGTGGAATCCCATGATTCTAGTTAATGCGTAATAGTTCTGAGTGTTTTTCCAGGAAAGTTAGTAACATTTTACAACAGGCAAATTAATTTGGCATTATAATTATCTATTAAAAGGATAAAGGTTATTGGACCAACATGAAGATAATTCCATAATTAAGCATTTAAAAGAAAATGACGTACCTGTCGGTTTGCCAGAGATATTCCAACGATCTCAAAAAACTGTTCGATGTAGGAGATAATGGCACCGAACACGGCCGGGCTTCTGGGCCCCCCAGGTTCCTGTAAGGAAGCACCGCAGGGGCTCTGGAAGACAGTCGGATGCCAGTGTGTGAACTCAAACAAGGAGCCCAGCACGCACTGCCCTCGGGCCTCTTAGCTCTGTGAAGGGGGGCACAGCTCCAGCATCAGCCGGCCTCCCTGGCAGTCCACGTGAGCGTGGGTGCAGCAGGGTCCCTGGTGCCTCAGTTCCCCCATCTGTAACACTGGGGGATGGTGGTCCTAGCTCATGGAGGTGGGTGATGGGTGAGCATGACAGTGGGCTACAGCATACAGAGGGTGAACGGGACCTGGGCTGGATTTCTGAGTCAGAAAGTGAGAAAACCCTGACACGTATGTTCATGCCAGTCAAGGAGCACAGACACATGCATGATGACAGTCTTCATTCCTGGATACTTGCAAAGATCATGACAGAAAACTACAGGTGGCCAGGCCCAAGGAGCCCCTGCAGCCTGAGCTGGGGCGGCTGGGCAGTGCTGGGCATGTAGGTGCAGGGCGGGCAGGACTCAGGAGAGCCGGGGTTGCGGGGAGGCCTCTGTGGGCAAAGGGGGAAGCTCTCCTGTGCCACAACAGTCCTGGCTGCTGGATCTGCCCAACCCTGCAGTGCCGGGTGTTGTGTCCCTACACCCACCCACGTGGGACTGAAATGCTCCTGCCTGTCACACTGACCAGCTGGGTGACTCAGAGGAGACTATAGCCCACGGTCTGCCTGTGCTGGTCACACCACAGGCACGCCGTACAGGCATGGCCCTGCAGGCTCCTGAGGGATGCAGGCTCCTGAGGGATGCAGCCTCCCAGCCCCGCCTGCTGTGACTCTGATGCAGGGGCCAGCCTGGGAATCTGTCCTCTAAAACCCAAAACTGAGCACAGCCAGGGACAGAGCCCTCCAGGAAGGTACTGAACTAATGGAGGATTTGGACCAGAACCTACAAGTGTTACCAAAGGTGTGAAAGGCACGAAACTGACCTCAAATAGCATCTTCACAGCTGTAGTGCCTGCCCAGATCCTGGGAGGTCACGTGGCTCCCAGCAGAGCTCCTCCCAGGGCCAGCACCTGCCAGCCAGTCCCTGTCCCAGCCCCAAGGCATGGCAAGGAGACCCTCTCAAAAGTACGTGGGCACTAAAGTCTGCTGCCTACCTCTTGTCTCTGTCTAGCACTCCACACACCCTCAGGGACCAGCAATTCAGGCTCAGCCCCTGGGTGCAACCGCACGATACCTGCAAGGGGGTGGATGGATCTTTGTGTAAGTTCTGCACAGGAATTCTCTGAGCTGGGTGTGGTGTGTGCACCTGTAGTCCCAGCCACTTGGGAGACTGAGGGCGGAGGACTGTTTGAGGCCAGGAGTTCAAGACCACATAGCAAGAACCCATTTCAAAAAAAGACAACTTCTCTAAGAAGTGTCTTAAATGGAGTGTGTACATGAAATGCGTTCCCTGAGGATCAGGCACATGTAGAATCTCTGAAGAGCTGGTCATTCCTCGTTGGCCCAAGACCCAGGCCAGGTGGGCAGCACAGTCAGGTCCCAGTGCACAGTGTCCTCTCATTTCACGTCTGAGCAACAAACTCAGACTGCACCAAGCTCCTCCGCGCAAACAGGACGGTCACGCAGTGCAGTGCGTGCCAGGGCCGTGCCCCGTGCTCTGCGCATCCCCAGAGTCACTGGGTGGCTGGGGCCTGGCCGTCAGGGCAGACCACGCAGGCCAGATGAGCTCCAGACCTACTGAGAGGGCTGGTCAGCAGGGGCCCAGAGGCCAGCTGTGGGAGGTGGGGTCGCCAGAGCCAACGTCTGTTACTTCCACATGAGAAGGACCCATAGCAAACCCTCACTGTCCCACTCCACGGGAGGCTGCCAGCCCTTGTTACCTGAGCCACCCTGAGCTGTCTGTTCCCCTGGTGCACCAGGCCCAGGATGGCGTCCACGGCCCTGGGTGTGTCAAAGTCATCTGCCAGCGCGGCCTGCACGGTCCCCTTGGTGCTGGAGAGTCTGAGGAGAGATGAGAACAGTCACTGCAGCCAAAGGGAAGCTCGACCCGGCGCCCGAGCCAGCCCTTCAGAAGCCCAGCATCCCTGGAGCGGGGCTGGGGTTTAACTGGTCACCCTCATTGCCTGTGCCCAGTGAGAAGCTAGTTCAGAGCAACAGGATCTTAACTATGTGACGTCAACTCCAGATGGCCACGTCACCCCAATCAGACTTTGTCCAGAGTGGAGGTAACCCGTAAAGCTTATATCTGAATACCCAAGATACTTGTGGGCATCTTCCTAATAGCTTTAAAAATCAATCGTGAGGAACTAAGCAGAGCGGATACACGCGACCGGGCTGTGTGAGGTGTCAAGGCAGCCTCGGGCAGGCGCCGGGAGAGGCAGGCACCGGCTCTCTCCGCCTGCCCCACAGGCTGGGTGAGGAACCCGAGACAGGACTTGGTGGGGGAATCGCAGGGGCTCGCACAGGCTCCAGAGAAGCCAGTCCCAGGGCGGCTCTGCGCCCGTGTCTTGTGGCGGGAAGTGTGCCCAAAGCCAGGTGGCCTCGTCGGGAGTAGGACCTCTGCCTCCTCTGGGTGCTCGGAGAACGTGCCTCATTCCTGGGCTACTAAGGACACAGAGGCTGGCAGGAGGGCGGCGCCCCTAGGCTCCTGACTCTCGGGGCGCTCCCTGAGTGTGGGAACAGCGCCTGCTCTGTGTCACCACCCGCAGTGGCCTCTGCTTTCTCTCCTTCACCTCAGACGTCCTTCAAAGAGCAGCGTTGGTGACAACCCCGTGTCTGCCCGTGTGCCTCACCAGCCCCGCTGGGGCACTCCTGTGGGAGGCCACACGTGCCCTGGGTCCCCTCCCTCTCTCCCGGCGCACTGGCTCCCCCATACGCCTGCTCGGGCTTCGCTGACCCCTAAGGCCTCGTCTCCTCCGGCCCTGCTGAAACGGCCACTCCTGGCTGTCACTGTCACGGTGCTCTGCCCACTTCCCGATCCTCTCCCTGGGGTCACGTGGAAGGATCGGCTTCCAGGTGCCCTCCAGGCCGGTGGGGCCTGTGCCGGTTCTGGCCCTGTGAGCAGTGGGGACCTGCACAGCGGGGGCTGGTGCTGCCACAGCCGAGACGAGGCTCTGTGCTCCCCCCTCGGCGAGGTACTGGTGAGGGGGAACCGCGGCTTCTGGCCAGCCCGGGCCCGAGTGACCACGTGTAGAGGCCCCTGCTGACCGGTGAGGGAGAAGCCCTCGCTGTTTTGCACCTGAGACTCAGGCTGGATGTCACACAGCACAGCATGGCCTCTCCAGACCTACCGGTAGGGTCACCTGCCCCTACGTGCATCGGTCTTTCTTCCTGTATCCCCTGTGTTGGTGCCACCCTCAGTCCTTCTCCCTCTGATGGTGGCCGAGCTACTGGCTTGTCCCCAGCCCAGCTCTGGATGGTCCTAGGCCCATGGCTGGAATGACTCAGCTCCAGCTGTCTTCTGGGGGTACCCTTCCCCGACAGACCCCGAGGTTCCTCATCCTTCCCAGGGATCCTGAGGGGCACCTGTCCCAGCACAGCCCTGGCGAGTGTCTGGCAGCCGTCTGGGCAGCGGCCGCACTTCTTTCCCCTCGCTGGGGGAGAGTGGAGGAGCGTCCCACTGTCCATCAGGAAGTCTGCCTGACATTAGCCCGAACCTCCCGATGTGGCACATGACGACAAATGTTCACCATGTGACCAGGCGACAGACTGGAACTTTCATGGAATACATCCCCGTTCCGTGCTGCGGGCCCCTCTTCCTTCCTACGCGCTGTCTGCGCTGAGTCACCCCATCCCAGCCCCTTGCCGCCGCCCACAGTCTACACGGCTCGGCCCAGGCGGTGCCGTAAGGACGCGAGCACACTTTCCTCCCTCAGGCGACAGCAGGTCACTATCAGCTGAGGGCCAGCGGGGTGGGCTGTGCGCCCGTCTTGCAGAAGACTCATCTGCCAGTTCCTGGTGTAGGTTGGTTTTAATCACCAAGACCTGCTGTACCCCCCGCCCCCACCGTGCCCTCGACCCTGCCGTGACACGCCCGTTTCGCTGAAGGTCCAGTGCACCCTTCCCTGCGAGTCTTCCTCTGTGAAGCCCAGTGATAAGAGCCTCTGTTTCCCAAACACCTGAGTGCCCGGCTGCCCCGCACGGCCCGGCAGGCCCGTCCAGGACGCGCACTGTTACAGCCTTCGCGCCACCACAGGCGGGGCTCTCCTCCGCTCCCACCCAGCGGGACCGCGGACTTGCCCAAGGCCACGGCCAGTGAGGGAGCAGCCCTGGGACCGCACCTGCCCCCTCACAGTGTCCTGTCCCTGCTCCCCCGCCCCCGTCCCTAGAGCAGCCCGTGTGGCGCCCGGCGGGAGGATGTGGCTCTTACCGCTCCCACAGCTGGGCTTCCTGGACGGGGCCACAGGCCAGCTGCCCCTTCACGTAGGTGCGCGCGTCCTCCAGGAAGGAGCACAGCCCCAGGAGCAGGTGCTGGGCTTGGAGCACGGCGCTGTCGCTGTAGTCGACGGCTGCGGAGGAAGAGACAGCGTCGAGGTGGTGCCCGCCGCGCCCACGCCACCAGCATCGGCAGCGTTGCGGGACGGGGATGCTGCCCCCTGGAACTGTCACTCCCCGCACCTGCCGGATGCAGGCCACAGGGTCGTCCCAGCTGATGTCACCCGCCCCGGGAGAACAAGGTGAACCAAGGAAAAACACTCCCAATACTTCTGGCCGAGGGCGCATTCCCGCTGACAGGCACAGACGGAGAGACTGACTCGAGGAGAAGTGCCTCCAGGGGCGGCCCACCGGTGCCACCAGGACACTGAGCATCAGGAGTCTGAAGGGACAGGGGGACTGGTCCAGACCCGGGGCTGCAGAATGAGTGTTTCTCAGGACCCAGAATGAGGACCCAGTGTGCTCTTTTTTTTTTTTTTTATCATTTCTAATCTACTGTACCTTGATAGGTAAGACACAGAAAGGATGAATTATTTCACAATGACTACACATACCTGGGTACCAGCACTGTCAACTTGTCATACATTTCTAAAGCCCGACTCTAATCTCTGTGCCTACTTTGTGTCGGACGGTAACAAACGTCCCCACCTGGCTGGGTGCACAGACCCACCGAGGGGCTCTGCAGCAAACACCTTCGGAAGCCTCTCTGGACACATGGGCCACACTGCCGCCCCCGTGCCTGGAAGCATGGGCTCCAAACCGGAATGCCACAGTCCACATGTGCCACACTGCCGCCCCCGTGCCTGGAAGCATGGGCTCCAAACCGGAATGCCACGGTCCACATGCACCACACTGCCGCCCCCGTGCCTGGAAGCATGGGCTCCAAACCGGAATGCCACGGTCCACATGCGTCACACTGCCGCCCCCCCGTGCCTGGAAGCACGGTCTCCAAACTAATGCCACAGTCCACATGCGCCACACTGCCGCCCTCGTGCCTGGAAGCACGGGCTCCAAACTGGAATGCCACAGTCCACATGCGCCACAGTGCCGCCCCCATGCCTGGAAGCACGGGCTCCAAACTGGAATGCCACAGTCCACATGCGCCACACTGCCGCCCCCATGCCTGGAAGCATGGGCTCCAAACCGGAATGCCACAGTCCACATGCGCCACACTGCCGCCCCCGTGCCTGGAAGCACGGGCTCCAAACTGGAATGCCACGGTCAGATGTGAACTCAAGCGGGGTAGCAGTGTGATGAAACTTTCTCTCCAGGTTCTCCAGTGTCTTGCTTAAAATGTTTCCCTTTTTTTCAAAATCCAGTTTCAGTTTTTGCTTTGGATAGCTTGATCCAAAAGAGAAAACTCCAGAAACCCACAATGCACGGACAAATTCTAAGACAAAGCTCTCAGGACTGGCAGGGCCAGCTAGCGTGAAGCCTATGCCCGGAGACGCAGGACAAAATTCCCGTGACGGCAGCAAGAACACGCGCCCAGACGGGGAGGGCAGGCACACCCCCGGGTGCACAGCACAGCTGGCCCTCGGGTCAAGGAGCACAGCATTTTCCATAGGGATCCTGCTTTACAGACAGGGAAAATGGGCAAGAAAACAACTGCTTTTCCAAAGTGCAGTGCAGTGTGCCCGGGAGTGGGATCTCTTGCTACATCTGTCCCAGTCTGTCGGCCAGATTAGGTTTTAGAGACGCCACCCCCTCAAGGAGAAGTTCCACACCAGGAAAGGTGGCGGCTCTGGCCCAGAGGGAATCTGAGACAGCTGGCGGTCGCAGGCCCCTCTGGGGGCACCGTATGCCCAGGGGATCTGTCCAGTGTGGGCGACCATGTCCAAGCTAAGCTGTTACTCAGGGATGGATCAGTGTTCCCAGAAATCCCTCGTTGGCAGGTCAGTACCTCCTAAATCCCAACCAAAATTCCCACTGGGAATGAGTTCTCGAAACGGCTGTCCAGGCTTGAGAAAGCTGCTTTTCAGACCAAAACTTTGCATTCAAAGTTCAAAGGAACCGCACAAGCAGAGATTAAAATAGTAGGACCGGGAGCTATGGCTCATACCTGTAATCCTAGCTACTTGGGGGACTGTGGTGGGAAGATTGCTTGAGGGCAGGAGTTCAAGATCAACCTGGGCAACATAGCAAGACCCCATCTCTACAAAAAATATAATGAAAATTAAAAAATGAGCTGGGCACAGTGGTGTGTACTTGTAGTGCCAGCCACTCGGGAGGCTGAGGCAGAGGATCGCCTGAGCCCAGGAGTTGTAGGTTGCAGTGAGCTATGACGACACCACCATACTCTAGCCTGGGTGACAGAGTAAGCCCAGGTCTCAAATAATAATAATAATAAATAATAAATAAAATAAGAAATGCACAGCCCTGCCCCATCCCTCCACAGTCTGTGACGAGGAGGGACAGAGGCCTCCAAGGATGAAAAGACACTGGGAAGGGCTCGGCTCAGGACGGCTCTGAAAGGACCACGAGGAAGAACCGGGCCGACGCCAGGAGGAGGGAGCTCTGGGCCGTGCGTGTGTGACGTCCGTCCGCCATGTCTCCGAGACACGCTCCCTTTCCTTGCGGCACAGAGCCAGACGGAAGCGGAGGACCCCAGTAGACTTACCTACCTGCAGCCCCCTCACAGCCGCGGCCGGGCCGTGCTCACTGAGACACGACGCGGGTGCACGGGCAGACAGCGAGGACACTGGTGCCGCCCTCTGTCTCGGGACGGCCGGGTCCTCTGGCCGAGTCTACGGCAGAGCCGGAGGCCCCTCCTGCACCACCCGACCCCGGGAGCTAAGTCCCTGGCCCAGCACACGCAGTCCTGCCCTTGGGCAGAGACTTGGGTCGTCCACAGTGTGGAAACCCGGATGAGCAGCAGAAAGCCCATGCCGCGCTGTGCGCACATCAGAGCTGGATGAAGACATGGGTGAAAGGACAGTGCGCATCCTGGGGTGGCGGGTTCTGAACAAAAGACGCACATCCGGGGAGCCCAGCATTGCCCTGGCTGTCCCTGCCGGCCTCACGGCTCCTCTGTGCTCCGAGGACGCGGGACGTGCTTCCTAGCACCCTTGCCAAGCTCGCCCGCTGCTAACGGGGCGTAGGAACAGCTCTGGCCTTCCGCCTGCGCCCTGTGCCCCACGCTTCCCGGCAGCACAGCCGCGCAGGACGGGCCACGCCAGAGAGCCCCGAACTTCCAGACTGAATACTGGTGTGGCGCCTGCGTCTTCTGTCCCACAGAGCCTGGACGGGGCCTTGCACTCAGAACACCCTTTTCTATTTTCAACTGACACTAAGTTTATTTACCAAAAAAGTCTGTGTATGACAGTTTTCATGAAAGATAGATACAGACAGATCTTTCATCGACCTGTGGGTTTCTCTCACTGCCTCTGACAATAAATATGATAAAGGAAAATGGAAATCATGGGGGTTTATTCCCATGATTGCAAAAGGAGATGCAACTACTGCAGAAGTTTACAAAAACCTGGAGAAATGAGTTTGCTATTTAACGCAGAATCAACCCACACTGCATTGCATCAGTTCCTCCGTTCCTCTTGACGAGCATCAGTCGACTAAGAAACGGGAACTGGTCAGCACACAGGTGAAGGCAGCTGTTGTGCAGGCTGGGGGGCTCAGTGCGAGACAGGAAGTCAGAGGCACGACCCTTGCCCCAAAGCCTGTCACGACCTGCTCACCCTAAGTGTCCCAGCAAGATCGGCAGGAAATGCCAAATGGCAAATGACTAAGCGCTAAATTAATTCAGGGAACAGAAATTGTGTGTGTCTCAATGTGTGCATGGCTGTGTGTCAACTATGAGTGCATTTGTGTGTGCACGTCTGCATGTTAATTGTGAGTGTGTGGCGTCAGCATGTTTGTGTGTGTGCATCTGCTTATTGTGTGTGGCATGTGCATGTCACTATGAGCATGTTTGTGTGTGCACATCTGCATGTTAATTTTGAGTGTGGCATCTCCCTGTCATCGTAAGCATGTTTGTGTGTGTGCATTTGTGTGTTAATTGTGTGGCCTTGCAGGTAGCCAAAGTGTGCAGACATCTGGACGCCTCAGCTGGAGCAGGGGAGCTTGTGCTTGGCCAATGGCCGCGTGAGGCTCTGCAAAGGAAGGGGGCGGGTTTCCTGGGAAGGGAGCCCAAGGAACCCAAACAGCTAAGAGCTCCGTGCATGACATACGGTATGTTGTTGGGGCAGATTTGCTCCACGGGTGAGCTGAGAATCAACTGTGCTCCGACGCACACCCCACCCCGTCTCTCCATGCACTATGGGATGTGACCAGGGGAGCGAGGGAGGTGCAGAGGAGGGATGAGGGGGACAGAGGGAGGGGGCGCATGCCCCCACCCCGTCTCTCCATGCACTACGGGATGTGACCAGGGGAGCGAGGGAGGTGCAGAGGAGGGATGAGGGGGACAGAGGGAGGGGGCGCACGCCCCCACCCCGTCTCTTCATGCACTACGGGATGTGACCAGGGGAGCGAGAGAGGTGCAGAGGAGGGATGAGGGGGACAGAGGGAGGGGGCGCATGCCCCCCCCCCGTCTCTCCATGCACTACGGGATGTGACCAGGGGAGCGAGGGAGGTGCAGAGGAGGGATGAGGGGGACAGAGGGAGGGGGCGCACGCCCCCACCCCGTCTCTTCATGCACTACGGGATGTGACCAGGGGAGCGAGGGAGGTGCAGAGGAGGGATGAGGGGGGACAGAGGGAGGGGGTCTGAGAGCAGCACAGGACATGGACACAGGCACCAGTGGAGCAGTGGGGCACAAGGAGGCCAGAGGGACAGAACTCAAGATGCTGCTGACCACAGCGGGGCATATGGCCCCAGCCAGGACGGGAGGTTCAACAGGCACTGTGGGGACAGAGGGCCCAGAGGAAACCGCCACGCTTGGTGTGAGTGCAGAGGGCAGTGCCATGGAGCAGCCTGGCAGGAAGGGGGCACTGCACGGGAGCCCCTGTGGGGCGCTCGGACTGCCTTGCCCGGCTGCTGGCATGCCACCACCCAATGCAAGGACTGATTAGTGCTACAGCTCCACCGTTTCCTTATGATCAACACAGTTTTTACACTTCAGTAAGGGCAAGAGGAAGTTGGCCGCTATTGCGGTTCCCCCCTGCCTGGCCACCGCCTTCCTGGTGCAGCTGTGGGGCTGGATAGCACCTGGGGCCCAGGCTGCACATGCCTCCCCTGCGCCCCTCACTGCCCAGCCCGTCCCCAGAGGACATGGACCCTGTTCCTCCAATAGAGCTAGTCAGACCTGGAAGCCTTACTGCCAGGCAGGTGGTCTAGTCAGACAGGGCCGTGCCTGCTGTCCTATCTCTAAGGGCCCAGGGACATGACGGTTTCCCAGGAGTCCAGCCCCAGGGCAGCAGGCAGCACTGCAGCGACCAGCATCACCCCTCCAGGGCCCTGTCCCTGCCAACCCCAGGAGCAGGCGGTGCCCTGGGTGGACGGGCGGGGCGGCCCCACACTGGAGGGCTCCTGTGTTTCAGGCACCATGTGAGGCTGACCGGTGTCATCCTCACAGTTCACAAGGCAGATGCCAAGGTGCTGCAGGGCCGACGGCTTGTCAGACCCACAGGGAGGGAGTGCTGGACAGGACAGCGTGACCGGAAGCCACGTCCTCTGGGGACGAGCTCCGACCGCCTGGCTGAGCGGGTCTGACAACACAGCCCGGCGGCTCACCGCAGAACTCACGCTCGTGGGGTCACGTTACTCCGTGGCCCGTGTCTTGCTATCCCCCACACTGCGGGAACGCTTCGCGTCCAGGCTGTGAGAGCGAGTGCTGCGGTCGGCAGACCCGAGGGCGACGCTGTCGGGCTCACCTGACCTGTAGCTGCTCCGCATGCAGAAGAGCCGGAAGACATCGGGGGGAAACGTCTTCAGAAAGTCCTGATAGAGGGAGAAATAAGCACAGCTTGATGCGTTTTTCCAATATTTTGTATCACTCAGAGATTACTCATTTACTACAGTTATGTGAGCTAATCTGTACACGTTAAGAAATCAGGAATTTTAAGGAAAAGCTTATTTTGTCTCCAAATTCTGACAGTTGCCACTCTTCTGGCAACTTCCCCACCGGACTGCCTATGTTCAAGCTCAACCCCAGGGGAAACAGCAGGCGGAGAAAGCCCGAAATCCCTGCGCTGAGCAGGCCCAAGGAGAAACCTGCTCTGTCGTCAGCCTCGGGGACTTTCGTGCACAGCACTGACGGAAGACAGGGACACAGCCGGGCCCCCAGGCGGCCAGCCCCCCACCCGACCATGCCTGGTGCGGAGGGGACACGGGAGGCGGCGGGAGACACACGGCGTGAGGGGAGACCGAGGGAGAAAGCCACGGTTGCGCCGCTGGCCTCCGCCCGTCAGCGCGGGAGCCACACGGGAGCCCTGCTCACCCCACTGGCGGCACGGGGCTCGCAAGCACCGAGGTCAACGTGCCCGCTAAGCTTGTCTCCCGCCTCTGGTTAAACATTAGGACAACTGATAACCCAACAAGTATCGTCCTATGGATAATTTGGAAAACGCCTGTTCACAAAGAAGTGGAAACGCCTACATGCGGGAGCACAACCTAAAGAAACCCCAGAGCCCGCTTCGGAGGCGCCCGCTGGACCTCACTGCACGCGACAAAACCTCCCCTCCCGGCGGCTGCTTTCAGGAGAGACTCAGTGAGGGAAGGAGAAAAGGGCTCCGCTTCACTAAGGGCTCCAAAGGCCCCAGGAAAGAAAGCGAGAGCCCCGCCTCACCCCTGCCCTGGGCTTGGCGGACAGGGCTGCGGGCGGCAGGTCCCCTCCACAGGCAGCCCAGGGCGCTGGCCCGACGGGAGCCTTCTCTCTGGCCAGAGCCTCAGAGGGCAGCACGACTGGCTGCCTCTCCCCAGCCTCTCCCTGCTTGGGATGCTGCCGAGCCCTGTCCCCTCGGACAAGCCTGGTCCTCTCGGCCCTGGGCTGACGTGTGGTGACACGGGCACACAGCACCAGGCTGCTGCTAAGCCGTGGTCTGCACCCCTCCCTGGGGCTCGGACACCCCTCGTCCTCAGCCAGGCTTGTCCCGTAACAGGTGACGGGCTGCTGGCGCAGACACATCCGGGGAGGGCGAGCAGGGAGCAGTCTGGCGGCTGAAGCCCCGAGGCTGGCTCAGAACGCTGCCTCAGCACTGCACCGTGCCCTGCTGCTACAGAACGCTGCTCCACGGCGTGCTGCTCAGCAACCCCACTGAGGGCAAAGGCAACGAAACTGAAGAGCCTCCTGGGGCAAGAGGGGCTGTCCCTGTCCCAGGGCTGCATGGGGCTTCCCCAGCAGAACCAGGGCAGCCTCCCCTGTCCTGCCGGGAGGGGACGGTGCTGGCACTGCTGAGTGGGGAGAGCAGGGGCCTGGGCTGCCTCCCACCAGGTGGGCGCTCCGCCTCCGGCCCTCCTTCCACTCCCTTGTCTGCCTGTGCCTAGCCCAGTGTGTGTGGGGTCATTCTTGCTCAGGGGTGGCATTAATTAGGAAACCGCTGGGCCAATCCCTTAATCCAGGCGCCCAACCTGGGCCCACAGAGGGGCCCATGGAGAGACTTCCGGAGGGCAGGGGGAAGACGAGGTGTATGAATTTGGATGGTTAGAATAGTTACGCTCTTATATCCACTAACCTCTCACTGAAATGTGGCGTTCCCTTCAACGATCAACTGTGAGCAACAAACCGCAGGGTGACCACGGCCTGGTGCTCTGTGGCCACACCAGTCCGGGATGTGCTCATGTTGCAGGTGCCGCCTACACCGGCTAATTATTCAACCAGACCTGCCGCTGGTCGTGTTCAATATGGAAGAACACACATTCCTCTATCTCGATCCATCAATGTCCTCTGTAATCCTATGTATTTCATTTTATGTATTTAAAAACATTAAATTATAAGGGAGGTCCACAAACTTCACCAGGCTGCCAAAGGGGCCTGGGGAAAGGGGTCAGAGTTAGTGTGTGTGTGTGAATCCCTGTCCCTAATCAGTAATAACGTTGAAATTTCAGTTTAAATCTGTGCATCTCCTGGTACTTCTTTCCAAATCATGAAAAAAGGAATATTATTTCCCCTGAATTTCCTCACTTGTGCCAAGTGCTGCCGTTCTCGTTAGCACACAGGCAGCCAGGCCCTGCCGCCTGCAAAGCAAAGTGCTTCCGCCTCAAATCTCGGGTGTAGAACTACGTGCCACTGTGGACAAAGGGCAGCGCCCCAAACCAATACGCCACAGACAGAACAACCAGGTAAGCAGTAAGGCTTTATCATGTGCAAAATGCTCATATGTGACAGCCCGTAATTATCTGTCTTATTATGGTGACAAACAAACAAGGCTTAGAGAACTGAAAACCAAACCACTGAACATCACAGGCTGCACTCGGCCTCCAGATTCTGGTTTGTCTCCCTGACTGAGTCCCTATGTCTTGGTTTGCAGGTATTTCCCTTCCACGGTACTTGAGTACCTCCCAGTTTTAGCTGTTCTGAACAGTGCTTCTCCAAGTGCATGAGCTGTGTCTTCTAGCAGCAGCTGTCTTGCTGTCTCCTCGTCTGGGAGAGGCTCTGTCCGCTGGGTAAACGGGCGGCACAGCAGACAAGGGACCATGCACGGATGGCTCTACCTGGAACGCAGAGGTTCCTGCTGCCCACCTTCTTCCAACTTTCTCCCTTACTTTTGATTTATTTCCTTGTTATTCATTCTCCAAAGTGTATACTATAAACTACTGTACAGCCCGTTACATGTTGCTTTGTGCTGCAGTTCATTTTCTTTGCCCAGGGAAACAACGTATCAGCAGACCTATTCCCCAACTGCCCTGCCATTAAGTGAGTTGTACTTTTAAACTGTTGTTCTGCTTTATATAACTTGTTGCCAGATAGGGAGTTGTTTTCCACAGAACCAGAAGCTCTCATCCCTGTCAGTGACCTGCTGTCTACAGTTCCTCTCCCACCGCCTGGAGCTCGCCTGACTGTCCATCCAACAGAAGCCAGCACCACGCTTCCCTTCTCTAGGTGTCTGTACTTCCTCTGAATTACGTACCATTTCCTACTCTATTGACTTTCTGCTCATATTTGTTGCGTTTCGTTACACAATTTTAAAACTGTAATATTAAGTATATTTTATCTCTGATGAAGTTCTCTAGTTTTCCTAAAAGAAATCTCTCTTCCTTTCAGAATCAAGGAAGAGGATTCTAGGTGGCTTTATTTTAAAGGGTTCTTATTAGCCTCAAATGTGTGTTCATCTAAGTTAATAGTTCTCTCAAACCCCAGCAACACTAAAGGGTGCTGACGTACCCCACTATGGGGGGCGGGGGGGACAGGGAAGGCACTGCCATAGAGTTAGGTATAGCGCAGTTCAAATCTGGAATATAATCTTTCTATAGCATTCAGTTTCTATGGACTGTTTCCTAATAATAACATACAAAGAGGGGGAAACATAACTTCTTCATTTTATAATATTCTGGTACTGATGTGTAAAGGTCCCAAATATTGTGGGTGTTCATGGACATTAATTTTTTAACGTCTTCCTGCTCTAATATCACTAAGTTTCCATCCTACTCTGGTTCCACCCTACCACTTGGCCACAGCTACCTGAGAGGTGTAATGTGGCGGTGCTGGTGTCAGTTTGTGCTTGAAGTGTCTCAGGGAGGTAAGCGATCCCTTGGGCACTCTGGCCAGAGGCCCAGTACCTGGCGGGCACCAGGTGGTGATGACAGCACGTGCTCTGAGCACCGCGAGCTCACAGGTGACAGGTGCACGCTCACAGGGAGCCAGCAGAGTGGACAGGCTGGTGGTCGCTGCTCCCTCTGACGCTGAGACCCGCTCCCAGAGCACCGGGCAGGGGCAGGCTCCAGGAGCCTCTCCTCTGGGCCACACGTCCGCATGAGCTTGGAGAGGTGTGGCAAGTAGAGGTCAGGCTTTGAACCCTCACCTAAACTCCAGAGGTTGACATCTTTCCACATTGACTCACTCCTGCCTCCATTAAGCAGAAAGAATTAGGAGTTTTCATGCAGACTATTATGAAACCTTCAGTGCTCTCCAAAACAATGAGGACTGGAGGGAAAACCAGGAAATTGAATGTGGCCAACAGCTTAACATCCCAAAAGAACTATGGGCCAAGGGTACTTGCAGTCTAGCCAAGAACACAAAATAAAACTAGCCAATACATACACATAGATGAATTCAACATAGCTAATAAACAAAGAAATGGAAATTTAACATCTAGTTGCCGTTCTTCACCTAATTAACAAGATAAACATTAACCTGATTACACTTCTAATTTGATGTTGGAAGAGACCTGGGAAGTGGACATTTTCACCTACTGCCAGTGGGAATGTAAGTGATACTTACTGCTCAATTCCCAGAGGCTATATCCAAATCATCCTGAATGTGCATATATCCACTAATGTACAGTTCTACTTCAACGCATTTATCCTAAGTTACTAATCACTAGATATGTAGCCAAGAGACATTCATCACAGCATTGAGGACTACAGAATACAGGTCTCATCTACTAGTTCAGCAATAGGTAAATAAATCACCATGAGCCATAAAGTGGTCATTAAAAATAATGCAGACGTGGCAATATCTATGAAAATTTTAAATGCACATACCCTAGTAGAAAAGTTGATATAATTTAAATGGCCATTAATAGGAGATTGTTTAAATTAATCAAGGTACACCCGCACAATGGACTACTTAGCTTGGAATGAAACTCCATATGGTAGAAAACCAACTAATCCAAAAGATTCATTTAGTGAGTAAAGTAAGTACAAAACAATGCTACCATTGTGTGCAAAGGAAAAGTCAGAAATACCTTCATAGAGAAGAGAGAAATAAACACACACACACGTCTCTCTGACTCCTAAGAAGCTGGCAACGGGGATATGGTCGGGCAGGAAATGTTCTTTCCACATTTTGTAACTTTGAATTTTTCTGTCATGTACTTCTTTGTCTTGTCTGTGTTTTTTAAACTTTCCACAATAAAATACATTACTTCTATAACTGGATTAAAACATTATTTGAATTATGGCAGTAATTCAAGGCAGTATACACACTATACCCCCTCATGATCAGAAAGCAGAGAAATAAGGAGTTATATACATACTGGCTTATTTTATGTTACACCCCCAACAAAACACCAGTTACTGGGAAGCATGGGCACAGTGGGGTGCAGGCCAGCCTTCTCCACACTTCTCTTCAGAGTGCTGACACCAAACCCTGTAAACATTTTACATACTTGAAAAATAAAAGTAAATTGAAAGAGGGAAGAGATACTGTCAGATCAGAAATAAACTGAACAAATGAACCTCCCATGTGATGAAAGGGAAACAGAACCACCCGGAGAAATCACTACACTCTGACTACAAGTGCTGACCACACCACCTTAGTGGGACACAGTCTAAGAAAAAGAAATGCAAGTCCAGAAAAGGCAAATCTGTAGAAAAAGCAGGTAGGTGGGTGGTGTCAGGGGCTGGGAGGAAAGGGGACGGAGAAGGGACTGCTGATGGGTGTGGCGCTGCTTTTTGGGGTGATGACAGTGTTCTTAGTAGTGATGGTTACACAACTACAAACATACTATAAACCACTGAACAGTATAAACTAAAAGGGGGAATTATATGGTATGTGAATTATATTTCAATAAAGCCATTATGTTTTTAAAAAATGCAAAGAAATCTTAAACTTTACTTAATACCTTTATGTTAATAGTAATACTGGTATTAACTTTTAAAATTAATCTTGTATTTTAAGATGAAGCAAAGAGTTGATATGCTCTTATACAAAAACAAGATTTTTAGTAAAAGAGAGGAAAAAGAGCTTTAAAAAAGTCATGTGATATTAAATTTTATTTGGATATATCAAAATGAACTCACATAAAATATCTATTTTGTATGTTTGTTTGTCTTCCTCCCTGAGCTCTGTCCCCTGAAAAGGCCCAGAAATAACATCTCTCCAGTAGCAATCAACACACTGAGTGCCGAAATCGTGGCTTCAGAATCCCATTCCCCCTCCAAGGCAGTGAGGCTCCCTGGAGATGAGGCAGGGGTGAGTAGGAGAGTGAAAGGTGAGCAGAGGCAGGAAGAATGCACCAGAGACCGAGACAGCCACGTCCACGGGACGCAGCAGCCAGACGGAAGAGCCCTCCCTGGCTAAATCCCAGATGATTTCAATGCCAAAGAGATAATGACTCAATGACAGTACACTAAATAAATATATATCCTTAACTCTGTAGTCATACTGAGACAGAGACAAAACCCTTTGCTTGAAAGAATATTGCCAACTAATAAATGTCAAAAAAGTGACAAGATGAGACAACCACAACTTGACAACAACCAATGAAATCCATGATGAAGGTGAAGCCTCTAAAACCACAGGGGGTGGGGCATTTGTTGGGAACCAGCTATCACATGGCTTGCCACCTCTCAGAGTCTTAGTATCATGAGAAGGACATAAAACTACAAGAGAGGATTTAGTGGTCATCCTTCAACCAAAGGTCAAACTTACCATCACGAATCATAGGACAACCTGACCTGGCCCCAGGAGAACACGGTATAAGTCCACAGCATCACCTATAAGGTATAATTGCTGAAAGTGTCCAGGCTGGTCTTGAACTCCTAGGCTTAAGTGATCTCCCATCTTGGCCTCCCAAAATGCTAGGATTATAGACACGAGTCACCAAGCCCAGCCTGAAAGTATTTCTTAAATAATAGGACTTGAAAGTAGAAATGATTTCTTGATCCATGGGCTGCAGAATGATGTTCTGTTGGCAGGCATGAAAACAGCACTGATCTCCTTGTATGTCTCCATCAGAGTTCTTGGGTGACCAGGTACATTGTCAACAAGCACCAATATTTTGAAAAGAATCTTTTTTTCTGAGCAGGTCTCAACAGTAGCTTTAAGATATTCAGTAAACTATGTAAACACAGATGTGTTGTCATCTAGGCTTTGTTGTTCCATTTATAGAACAACAGGCAGAGTAGATTTAGCATAACTCTTAAGGGCCCTAGGATTTTTAGAAAGGCAAATGAGCACTGCTTCAACTTAACCTCCCAGTAGCTCCTAACAGAAGAGTCAGCCCATGCTTTGAAGCCAGGCATTGACTTTTCCTCTCTAGCTATAAAAGTCCTATGTGGCATCTTCATCCAATAGAAGGTCAGTTCATCTACTTTGAAGATCTGTTGCTTTGTGTAGCCACCTTCATCAGTGATCTTCTAGATCACTTGCTGCAGCTTCTGCATCACCACTTGCTGCTTCACCTTGTGCTTTTATGTTACGGAGACGACTTCTTTCCTTAAACCTCATGAACCAACTTCTGCTAGCTTCCAACTTTTCCTCTGCAGCTTTCTCACTTCTCTCTGCCTTCACAGTACTGAAAAAAAATTAAGGTCCTTGTTCTGGATTAGGCTTTGACTTAAGGGAATGTTGTGGCTGGTATGATCTTCTATCCAGACCACTCAAATCTTCTGAATATCAGCAATAAGGTTTTCCAATCATTCATGTGTTCACTGGAGTAGCACTTTTAATCTTCTTCAAAAACTTTTCTGTGCATTCACAACTTGGTTAACTGTTTGGTGCAAGGGGCTACTTTCGAACTATCTTGGCTTTCAACATGCCTTCCTCACTAAGCTTAATAATTTCTAGCTTTTGATTTAAAGTGAGACACTCACTCTTTCTTTTACGTGAACATTTAGAGGCCATTTTTAGGTTAATAACTGGCCTAATTTCAATACCATTGTGACTTGGGGAATGGGGAGGCCCAAGGAGAGGGAGGGAGACTGGGGAACGGCCAGTTGGTGCAGGAGTGAGAACACATATAACATTAATTTCACCGTCTTGCATGGGCATGGTGCATGGTTCCACAAGACAATTACAATAGTAACATCAAAGATCGCTACTCACAGATCACCATGACAGATATAACAATGAAAAAGTTTGAAATATTGCAAGAATTAGCTAAATGTGACAGAGACACAAAGTGAGCACATACTGTTGGAAAAATGCTATCTATAGACCTGCTTGACACAGGGTTAATGCCAACGTTCAATTTGTAAAACCCCACAATATCTGCGAAGTGCACTCAAGTGGAGTACGCCCAAATGAGCCGGAGTGACTCACTGCTGCATGGCCCCATGTATACATGTGCAATGTGCGCATGAATAAATTTCTATTTTTCTCCTGTTCATTCTGCCTTTGGCTAGTTTAACTTATAGGGCGCCAGCCAGAGAATCTAAGATGGGTAGAGGAAAACCATTTCTTTTCTCTACTACACAACAAATAAAGAAAATAATAACAACTACTGAATCTATGTAGTGGTAAATGGATGTTTCTTTTAACTTTTCCGTACGTTTGAAAAGTTTCTAGTATAAAAGCAAAAAATTCTACTTAAGAAAAGTATGTAAAAACTGCTTTGTGAGAGGAGCAGCCTTCTTTTGGTTTATGGTAGATGGGATGGGAACAGCTGTCAGTGCTTTGCTATTTAGGTCTAGAAACTGTGCCCTTCAACCTATTTTGCAATTAAAATTAAATTTGTCTTTAAAGACAGGCCCAAAGGCAAGGAAGATATCAACCAAACTTTAAAAAGTGTTCTGTGAATGCTTGTTTTGCATTCGTACGGAAATACACATTCCCTAGGAAACCGGGGCAGCAGGATGACATTTCTCAGGCTGGTTAAGAATCCAAGCAGCTCTGTGCCCATTAAAGGCAAGCTGCAAAAGCCAAACAAACAAACCCCAAACCACACTAGTAGGAGGAGGCTGGTGCAGAGAGGGAAGGAATTTGGCAGGAATTTGTTTGAGGGAGAAACTGTTACAAAGGGAAAAGGGAAGAAGAAGGTGCAAATGTCCTACTGCAGAAAGAGAAAGGGAAACCTCCAGAATGCTAGCACAGGAAACAGCGGGAGGTGAACACTCGGAAGGAGAACCTGGAGAATGCAGGAGGCTACTGTGAGGTCCTCACAGGAGACAGAAGCCTTGGGGACAGGTTCTGAAAGCTGTGAGCAGCTCCAAGATGGAAAAGGCACATTACCTTAATAGTAATGTAGTTTTTTAATGATTTGGACATTTTTTCTTCTTTGCCTTTCACGTGCAAATGCCCTGAAACAAAAACAAAAGCATTCATTCTGAATTGGTCCCTAGAGGAGAGAGAGACTCTGCAAGGAGGGTAAGAAGTGGGAGGCATAGCTGCTGCTCCTGGGGGCCCCTGGCCCCTCGTGGGCAGCCTCCAGGCATGAGGGTCCCCAGGACACAAGCAGGAGCTGCATCCTATGCTATGTGCAGATCTAAGGCTGCCTCAAATCTTCACCTGCACTCAGCCCTCCAGGGAGACGCAGCCCGGCACAGAGGGGCAGCCCGGCACAGAGGGGCAGACGACGCGGGTGCCCTGGTTGACTCAGAACTGAGACCAGATGGACAACCATGATGCTGACAGCAATATTTCGTATTTTTCCTCTTTCCTGTAATTCAGAGACACTAATCTGACTAAATACCTGAAGAATGAGGAATCTCTCATTTGGCAAATCAGGCACTCAGCAATAACTTGCTCAGAACAGCAAAGTTGAGCCTGCAGGTCTCTGAGTGTGATTAATTAGAATTTCTGTTGCAGGTGTTTTCACGGACTTTTCGAGACCTTGGTATTATACCTCCTCCCGACAATGTATGTGAAAGACAGGAAGAAAACCAAACTCATCTAGGGAATCCTAAATCTGAGCCTGGGATTCTGCCTGGACTGTGTTCTTACAAGGCTTATTTCCAAGGGAAGGGTCTTTCTAACAGAAGATTATTCTTCTTTTTCTGACACAACTTCAAATATAAGAGTGCTCCAAGGCTGATTTTTTTTTTTTTGAAAATTGTGGTTAAAATATGGTTTCCAAAAAGAAATATAACCTCAAATATGTCATTCTATATAGTGTGTCCTATATACCAAGTATGATTATAATTTAAAAAAACCTGACAATATCTGAAAAATGAAACATATTTGCTATTGTTTGAATGTTTACGTCCTTCCAAACTCCTATGTTGGAATCCTAATCTCCAAGGTGATGATGGTATTTGGAGGGCCGTTGGGGGTGATTAGGTCATGGGGGTAGAGCCAGCATGACTGGGATTATTGTCCTTATAAAGGAGGCCCCAGAGAGCTCTCCTGCCCCTTCCACCCCCTGAGGACACAGTGAGAAGATGCTGTCTATGAACCAGAAAGGGGCCCTCCCCAAACACTGAATCTGCCAGTGCTCTGATGTGGGACTTCCCGGCCTCCAGAATTGTGAGAAATAATTTCATATTGTTTATAAGCCACCCAGTTTATGGTATTTTGCCACAACAGCCTGGACACACCGAGACCACATCTGACTCCTCAGCTGTATCTTCCATCCATTTACAGCGGGAGAAAGTGTCAGTTGTCCTGTGTGTCAGCAGACACTACCGTTTCTCCAGGATAGGGTCAAACTAGTATGAAGATTCCTACTGTCTTAGGAAGTGACAAAAGGCATTAAAGAAAACAGCAAGTTGGGCCGGGCACGGTGGCTCACGCTTGTAATCCTAGCACTCTGGGAGGCCGAGGCAGGTGGATCGTTTGAGATCAGGAGTTCGAAACCAGCCTGAGCAAGAGTGAGACCCCGTCTCTACTATAAATAGAAAGAAATTAATTGGCCAACTAATATATATAGAAACAATTAGCCGGGCATGGTGGCACATGCCTGTAGTCCCAGCTACTCGGGAGGCTGAGGCAGGAGGATTGCTTGAGCCCAGGAGTTTGAGGTTGCTGTGAGCTAGGCTGATGCCACGGCACTCACTCTAGCCTGGGAAACAAAGCGAGACTCTGTCTCAAAAAAAAAAAAAAAAAAAAGAAAAAGAAAGAAAACAGCAAGTAGGCTGAGCTTGGTGGCTCACACCTGTAATCCCAGCACTTTGGGAGGCTGAAGCAAGAGAATTGCTTGAGGCCAGGAGTTCCAGACCAGCCGGGGCAATAGTGAGACCCTGTCTCTACAAAAAAATAACAAATTAGCTGGGCATGGTGGCTTATGCCTATAATCCCAGCGACTCAGGAGGCTAAGGGAAAAGGATCGCTTGAGCCCAGGAGTTCAAGGTTGTGGTGAGCTACGACGATGCCACTGCACTCCAGCCTGGGTGACAGACTGAAACCCTGTCTCGAAAACAAAAAACAAAAACAAAAAAATAAAAATAAAATAAAACAAAACAGCAACCAAAAACCCCTCTCCCATTCCCCCCGTGAAGGTGACCGAGACCCCAGCCCTATGCACCGACAGAGCTGAAGCGTCTTCAGGCTCAGGCCAACCCGCTGGCTCCCTAAAGGGCACACAACATTCCACGGTGTCCGTCACAAACGCAACCCACTGAACAGAACCAGCCCACAGACGACCGAGTGTCCGCGGAGGGGTCACCTCTGACTTCCCAGACTGCTCACAGGGCGATGAGCTGTTCCAAAGCTGCCAGGAGGGACGGGGTGCTCTCTGTGCCTGAGATGAGGTGCTTCGCGCCCACGAGGGGGCTCTGAGCACGTTTCTCTCACAGACTCCCTCCCACACGGCCTCAAGTGTCGTGTGGACACCTGGCTCTGGAAACAAGCACCGGGCTTCCCAGGTACTCTTTCACTGGGCAGTGAGTGTCTCCCCGCCACGAGAGCATAGCTGCACATGGAGTGAGACATCAGGCCTTCCTTCTGCTCAGGGAAGCCGCCACGCGATAGACATGGCTGGCAGCAACAGCCGCTGAGCTCCCCCAGGGCAGTGATGCGTTATACCAGACAACCGCCCCCAAGTCCTGCACAACAATCCAGCCAGCTTTGCTTCCACTTTGCCGCTGCACAGCCTGCAGGCACTACAGAAAGGAGCTGGTCACCCCAGAGGACTGGGCCCCATGGGCAGACAGCAGTGGCGGCGCGGAACCTCCAGGGTGAGCTTGGGGTGAAGAGGACACTGGGAAGTGCACTTCGGGGCCAGCAGCCTCACCTGTTGACTGTCATGAAGAAAGCCAAGTGAACCCCACTGCAGACTATAAAACTACAGCAGCTCTGCACTCAATACTGCCTTACTGTGACATACTCATTTTCTCATTCGAGGACTTAAAACATATTTGTTAACTTCCTGTATTTTTTTTTATTTATTTATGTTTTGAGACAGAGTCTCACTCTGTTGCCCCAGCTAGAGCACCATGGCATCAGCCTTGCTCACAGCAACCTCAGACTCCTGGGCTCCAACAATCCTCCTGCCTTAGCCTCCCAAGTAGCTGGGACTACAGGCAAGCACCACCATGCCCGGCTAATTTTTTCTATATATTTTTAGTTGTCCAGCTAATTTCTTTCTGTATTTTTTGGTAGAAATAGGGTCTTGCTGTTGCTCAGGCTGGTCTTGAACTCCTGAGCTCAAATGATCCACCCACTTTGGCCTCCCAGAGTGCTAGGAACTTCTTGTATTTTAAATGTTGATGTTTGCATCTCCCAACCCTACCACTACCAAACACTTTTTATTTTTCCTTGTCTCAAATACCTGAGCTGCCCATTCCAAAAAGGTAACAAAACTGGTTAATTCTGGCCCTGTGACCTCTATCAAAACTTAGACATAAGAATCTCTTCCCGTGCATCAAAAAAAATTCCAAAATTTTCCAAATTTGCTATGCTTTGGAATTTGAATTTTGGAATTTGAATTCCAAAATTGCTATGCTTAAGCTATTGCTTATTTTATAATGTTGTATCTACTTCTCAGGACAGATGACTGGGGTTAATCAGTTATGTTTTTGAGTAGTAAAATAGAAGGCAATGTTATTAGAATATGACAGATATGTCTGGTGACAATATTTTAGCTTAAAAATGGCATATTCATAATTGCTATTACATCATACCATCTGAAATCCCTTCTCAATACTTTTATTTAAAAGAAACTTATATAATAGAACAGCTTTGTAAAATATTTTCCATATTGCAGATAGTTCTAAAAAGGCATGCTCATTATTCTAGTCGAAGGAAGTTCATGTCCAAATGACTAAAATTCAAAAATATCTATTCAAGAGATAGATTTGTTTCTTAACCTATTATTAGCTGATCTATGTATTTCCAAATGTAGCTGTTTTACCAATAAAGACAGAATTGACAGAACTGAAATAGAACAAATTAATTTAATGTCATTACTTACCAGAATGCAGAAAATAATTTCCCCATTGCTTGCACTGATGAAAGACCTCACACTGTGCGATTTCATTTTCATGATGTGGAAAAGCTAAATCTATCCCACCTGAGTGGATATCCAGTTGACTTCCAAACACCATACTGGAAGACACAGTGCAAGGTGGTGAATTATTCAATCAAACATATTTCTCCAAACCTCATCTTATCTTTAATCCTCCCAGCCTTGTTTATACAATGAACAAATGGATCTCAATTTTAAAGCAATTTGCATAATTTATCTGACACAAATAAAAACTGAAATCTGATTTTTACTTCATCATAAAACCCATAATTCATAGCTAGACAACTCAAAGCTCTGTCACCGGAGCAGCCATGGGCAGAGCACAAGTGGAACCTGCTGGAGACAAGTTGGCTGCCGCCCTGTGGCACAGCAGAAGTGCTGCCTGGGGGGCTGGCACAGCGCAGGCGCAAACTCCCCCAGCAGACAGCTCAACAGGCTGGGTGCAGACACTCATGGATTTTCTTAAAACGGTTGAAAACAGGAGTTTTCAAGGTGCCAATGCTAAGGTCCTTGCCTGCTCTCCCGGCCCGGCTACACTCAGGTCTCCCCCTGCGCCGAGCGGCACTGCAGAAACATGCCATAGAAACAGCGCTTGTATGTTACTTTTACATCCCAGTGATGGTTTCAGAGTAACTCACACTCCCTGAAATCCAAATGCTAGGGAGCAGACAGTGGGGTGGGAGGGACCAGGGAGGGCTCCGGGCCTCCTGTGTCCTCAAGCAGTTCTCCTCACAAAGAGCAGACACAGATGTGACGCTGTCAGGATTTCACAAAGCTGAGGCACAGGTTCACTGTTTTAGCCTCGATTCTTATCTCTCCATTAGACCTAATTTAAAGTAAGAGAAAGCTGAGAAGGAATAATAGTTTATTTTTATGTTTTAGATCTTTCAACAAAAATAAAATGTTTGACAGTAAGATTTCATTTGAAACTCACTAAATGTTTTCTACCTGCTTTAGAGAAATTCTTTGAATCTAAAAAATAAATATCTTTTTACAACCCAATTGATATCCTAGAGCCTGCTGTTATTATAACAAGTACTTATAAACACACATAAGCAGTTACAGTATGACCAGTGGCTGCACATTTGTTTGTTTGTTTGTTTTTTGAGACAGAGTCTCACTGTGTTGTCCAGGCTAGAATGCCGTGGCATCAGCCTAGCTCACAGCAACCTCCAACTCCTGGGCTCAAGCGATCCTTCTACATCAGCCTCCTGAGTAGCTGGGACTACAGGCATGTGCTGCCACCATGCCCGGCTAATTTTTTCTATGTATTTTTAGTTGGCCAATTAATTTCTTTCTATTTATAGCAGGGACGGGGTCTCGCTCTTGCTCAGGCTGGTTTCGAACTCCTGACCTTGAGTGATCTGCCTGCCTTTGCTTCCCAGAGTTGTTTGTTTGTTTTTAAATGGAGACTCAGATCCATGCTTCCCACCAACAGGAGTCTGATGTCTCAGGAGTCACTGAAGCATTTCCAGGTGAGTCACACACATCACTACAGAGGAGGATGGGGGGGGGGGCGAGGTGCTTGGCAGAAAAAGGGAGAATTCCTTCTAGGTCTTAAAAAGGACAAACAAAATTCAGATATGCAGGTCGTAGAGGATGAGGCCCCCGCACCTGGTGGGATGGGGTGAGCCCACTCAGGCTGGACCCAAACCAGTCTGGGGCGTCCGTGAGTGGCGCAGGGTCTCTCGTGGGGGAGCACTATCCCATTACCCACCCAGTCACTCCCACCCAGCCAGAAAACACACAGCACTGCATACGACGACTGGTTTCAGGATGACTAGATTTATCGATCTTAAAATAGTCGCTTGAAATGCTCACCTTAATCATACTTTATGTTTCTAATTTTAAAATGTGCCCATTATAATATCTGCAAAGAACTGACACGCATCAAATATACTAAGATCTATGAGTTAATGACTCTACAAACAGGAAACACACACACGGGGCATTCGCAGGGATATCTGTGACAGCAACACTGGGAAGGCAGGAGCCCGCATGCACGGGATGTGTCCGCACGAGCAGCCACGCAGCCAAGGGCGCTGTGCTCGACGAGCAGGAGGGCGGCACAGAGGCGCCTGTGGAGGGCCGCCTTGGTGTGTCCCATGCCCGGGGCACCTGGCCACAGGCAGACCACGGGGTGCCACCATGTGAGGAGGTCTAAAGAGGGGTCAGAGAGGGGCAGAGAGGCCCCAGCAAGATGCGGAAGCCAGGGCAAAGAGGGAGTGTCCAGACAGGGAACCAGCCATGGCGGGGCCTCAAGACAGCAGGTCAGGTGGCAGCAGTCACAGGTGCACAGTGAGAAGAGAAGCTTCACTGACAGAAGACAACTCAAGGTCACTGGAGGCGACCCCAGGGTCAAAAATAGATCTGTGTCTAGACATGAGCAAGGGGTCACAGCACCCGGCAAGGAGCTAAGGGCGCTCTCCTCCCAGGCCCTGCACCCTGGACGGGCTACAAACAGGGATTAAGATACCAAGACACCGTGAGCATGCGACAGGAAATCGTTTTTAAGTATGAAATGTCCAATTTCTTAAAGTACTAAGTTTGACAGCTGATATCTCTGATATTTCACTCTGACCTACTTCTTGTTTTATTTTTATTGTGAAGATACATCCTCAGTTTTTCAAATGCATGGTTTGGCTTGTGGTTATCTTTCAAAATTGTTTTTAGAGCACTTTTTGTGAAACTATGGATAAGTCAAAAAATCATATTATTTTCAAATATGAGCTCCGTATGGAACCAATGTAGCACAGACAGCTCAAAGTATCAACAAAGTGTCTGGGAAAGACGTGGCGAATGAACGCACCGTTTGTTGATGGTTTGAGAAGTTCCATCTGGTGATTTTCATCTTGAAAATGAGCCACGTGGGCGACCTGAGACCAAGACGGATAATGATGGCTGAAATCTGTGGCGGAAGCGAATCCAGCTCAACCCACCAGTGAATTAGCAGTGAGGTCTGATGTTCCTATTCCAACAATACTGGACCATTTGAAACACATTGGCAAAGTAAAGAAGCTGGATAGATGGGTCTGCACGAATTAAACAAGCACTGGAAGAAATTACCTCAAAGCTTGCCGTTCTTTGCTGTAATGACATAAAGGCGAACCGTTTCTACACCGTGTCGTTACATGTGATGAAAAATGGATTCTTTTTGACAGTCGTAAGTGTTCAGCACAATGGCTGGATAAAGATGAAGTGCCAAAACACAATCTAAACTTGAATATTTATTCATCAATGGTGTCTGTTTGGTGGTCCAGTGCTGGTATTATCCACTACAGCTTCATAAAACCTGTTTAACCAATCACAGCAGATGTCTATTGCAGCCACTTAGAGGAAATGATGAGGATGCTTGTGATTAAGCGGCCAGACTGGTCAACAGAGACAGGCAATCCTCTTGCAACATGACACTTGACCACATGTCACACAAACAACGCTGCTCAAACTATAGAGGCTGGACTTGGAAACTCTCTGTCACCCACCATGTTCACCAGACCTTGCACCAATTGACTACTATTTCTTCCAGGCTTTGGACCACTTCTTACAAGGAGAAATACTCAGTTCTCAACAAGCTGTGGAAAATGCCTCTAGCGACTTCATTGCCACTCGCTCTCCAGGCTTCTTTGCTGCTGGCATAAACAAGCTACTGTCAAGACGGCGAAACTGTGTTGATAGTTGAGGCGCACACTTTAATTGTACTGCTTCCTGTTTGAGATGTCATAAACTACACTTTTGATTCGAAATTGGACATGTCATATTTAATGACCTAATAAAAAAACAGCCTTTTCTGCTACAAATAGGAAGTGCTGATGTCTGATGTCAGGAAAACTAAACGCACCCTGGGTTTGCTGTGTCTCCCTTCTACGGTGAGTCATGCCCGAGGAATCTCTTCCCAGACAACCTACCTGCAGGCACCAGCGCCAGGCTCCACCTGCTCCTGGCCGCGCCCTCCGCTGCCCAAACCAGGCACCGCGTGGGGCTGAACATCGACACCAACACACGGCGATGTGGGAACCTTACCTTGCCATGGCAGAGCACTCGATGTGCCAGCCAGGTCTTCCAGGCCCCCACGGAGAGGCCCAGAAAACCTCCTTGGGTTTGGCTGCCTTCCACAAAGCGAAATCACCGGCGTGACGCTTGTCAGAATCACCTGCTGATGACAAATGGCTCGTCAGCGGGAGGGGACGTCAAACACCACACCCACAAAGGCCACTGCACATCCCAAAGAGCCTGACCCTCCTCACAGGTGACCTCACTCACACTCCCCTCCATCCCCTTCTCCTTCCCCACACAGCGGACTGAAGCACTAGCAAACCCGCCCATCCCAGAGGCGCCAGAGCGCGAGGCGCCAGCTGAGCGGCCAGGACCGCAGCCCGGAGCCACGCTGTTTCTGGGACGGGCTGGGTGCCCCCACGCGTCCTCCTTCTTTCTACTGTCGGCTTGTCAGTGACTGAGTTTCAGGGTAACTTTTCCCAAAAAGGTAAGAATCAAATAGAGTGAAGAGGAAATTACCACACATCCCTAGAAGGGAAACTGGGGAGAGGAGATCAAACTATGTGTTCAAGGCTACGCAACGAGTCAGTCTCAGGCTCTCTTTACGTTCCAGAATGAAGAGAACCAAGGAGCCTGTCGGGCTCTCAGGACACACCACATCTGATCTTTCAAGGGTTTCCCGCCCATTCTAGTGAGTCCTGCAGACAAACCTGGTGCTAGATTAAATGCTGCACTGGCATCCAGCTCCGAGCCCTGCAGCTGTCTCCAGGCTGGCCGTTCCTACTAGGAACAGTCCCCGCGGTGAGGAAGTGAGCACGTGCAGTCAGCTCGGCCCCTCCCCAGGCACACCCACGTGCTAGGCACTGGGCACAGGCCAGCGCGAGACACACAGGTCCACACAGCTCAGACAGTCACGAAGGGCACGTGTGACACTGAGGGAGGACTGAGCCCGCTCTGCAGAGGCTGGTGCGGGGTGAGGTCAGGAGGAAGGGGCTGGGACTCAGCAGGTAAATGGACAGGAAGGCAGCTGCCTTCCCAGGGGAGGGGCAGCCTGGACGAAGGCCACATGGGACAGTTTGGTGTGAGAAGAAATGCACTGCAACATGAACAGGGTTCTAAAAATCGCCATTCCAGCCAGGCGCGGTGGCTCACGCCTGTAATCCTAGCTCTCTGGGAGGCCAAGGCGGGCGGATTGCTCGAGGTCAGGAGTTCAAAACCAGCCTGAGCGAGAGCAAGACCCCGTCTCCACTATAAATAGAAAGAAATTGATTGGCCAACTAATATATATACAAAAAATTAGCCGGGCATGGTGGCACATGCCTGTAGTCCCAACTACTTGGGAGGCTGAGGCAGTAGGATTGCTTGAGCCCAGGAATTTGAGGTTGCTGTGAGCTAGGCTGACGCCACGGCACTCACTCTAGCCTGGGCAACAAAGTGTGAGACTTTGTCTCAAAAAGAAAAAGAAAAAAAAATCGCCATTCCCTAAAACACACTTCATTTTCCACGTCTCCCTGTGTGGAGCACGGCTCCCCGTCCTGCGTCCTGGGTCAAAGCGCGGACATGCAGCGCAGCCCTGGCTTTGACAGTCTTGCTCAAAGGACTTTTGGAGCTTGTCTGTGGAAATTGCCTTTGAATAGTCCCAACAGAGACAGATCCCCATGAAAGGGAAGAAGGGTGAGGAGGTAGGTGCGTGGCATCAGGAGGCACAGACTCTGAGCTAGAGTGGCTGCACCACTGAGGGGGAGCTGCCTGCCCCAGCCAGACGACCTGTGTTCAAAGCCTGCTGTCCTGTCTGACAGCGCACAATGCCCCTAACACCTCCTCATCTGAGTGTTCCTGTAGGCATCTTATCAAACTGTGATGAATTTAAAGATGTTGAACTTCTGTGGTGTAGACACTGATATTTTTTCTGGGTCAGGCAGGACATGCCATGTTTTTACTGCCAGCAAATGACTAGGCTTTAAAGAAAAAGCCCTCTGGGCACCCAAGCAAATAGCACAACTCATGCAGAGTGCATGGAAAATTAGAGAGCCTTCACATTTTAATGACAACACATTATGCCAGAAGAAAATGGAGTCATGTATTTATGAGACTTAAGGGCAGAAAATGTAGCCAAGGATTTTATTTCCAGCCAAACTGACTTTCATATAAAAGGGCACACAATGTGATTAATGGGCAAAAATTCAGGGAATATTGTTCTCAAGGAAGAAGACTTCCCTCAGAAATTGCTTCAAAAACAAACAGCCGAGGAGCTGACCTGGAGACAGTGGGAGGGCAGAGAGTGGGCACGGCAGGAGGCAGCACGGCCAGGGGCACCGATGCGTGGACCGGGCAACCGGATCCAGACAGGGGGGAGGAACCTCCTAACTGTGGCGCCCTCACAGGCGGGGGCTGGGCACGGCTGGAGGATAAAGCAGTGGCGGCCTCTGGGCCCTGCCACACCTGGGATCTGCCACTCAGGGGAAAAGAGAGATAGGATGCAAAAGAGAACAGGTGATTACACCCCGTGGTCCTGCATCTGACGATCAGCGTGACCTGATGCAGCATCTTGTTCTTATGCAGATACACTTATTTATTGCCTCAGCCTACTGAAAAGGCCTGCAAATGACAGGTGATAGCAATGAGTAGCCTTGCACCCACACCACGTTCTGGAAACACCATTTCCCACTAAAGAAAAACAGGTGAAAAGGAGAAAAGGGTTATTTAAAGATGAGCCTGGGGTGTCTGGCCACGGCAGACAGACAGCAACAGAATTATCAACTACAACTGGGCTGAGTTTAAAGGACTTGGGAGTCAACCAACAGCAGCTCCCATTGGCACAGGAAGGGACAATTTGAGGACCAATAAGGATGGCGATGGCGCAGGGTTAAAGCACAGCACATATGCTTGTCCGTGAGTTCCTAATGATTAACAAAAGCTAACTGGTCACCCTCAGAGAATGATACGTAAACCAACTCTTCATTTTGATAACTGGTGAATAAAGAAGAAGACTTGCGCATTTATATATCCTGCCTTTCCTATACAAACTGTACCACTGAGAAACCAAATAACAATCCGTCTGCACAGAAGTATTCCAGCAAATAAACAGAGTGATAGAAGGGAAGCACCACTGCGCAACCTCTTTCGCCGTGAAGGCTGCCAGCCTAGCACAGCGAGGCTGCCGACGCAGGACAGACGGAGCGCACCGGCTATAAAGTAGCCTTCTCCAGAAATCCAGAACCGGATTAGGCCTCTAGGTGAAACTACCAATCCGCAAAAAACACAGGTCAGAGGAACTGTCACACATCACCGCGAGAACAGAATCGGCAGACCCGCAACTGAGGAAACTCCGGGAGATGAGCGAGCCGCAGGGGCAAGTGTGGCAGAGGAACACACAGACCAAAAGCATCCACGACACACAAAAATGTGGAACAGTCAAGGCTAAACTGGTGTTTAGGGACAGGTGCTTGGGTAATAAAACCGCTCAGAAAGGTGAGCAGGTGACCGCCGTCACAGTTGGGGCGGCTCCGGGTGGGGGCAGGCAGGGAGCGGATGTGGGCCCTGGGAACTACAATCCACTGCCACGCTGTCTTCCAGGGTCTCCTCCCACCGGAATTCAGTGAACTGGATATTTTTTATATTGTTTTCTATTATTGTGATATTATAACAATTAAAAAATTTTTAAAAATGCACTATTGCTTGAAAATGATATACACCAAGGCATTAAGATATTTTTACCATATATAAGAATGAGTGGTTTTATTGTCTTTGTTTCATATAATGTTTCCTAATTTTTGAACCATTATAAATAATATAAATATGTTGCTTTCCTTTAAGAAAATAATTTTAATTTTAAAAAGTCCTGCTGTGAGGATGTGGAGCGATAAGAACTCTCATTCATCGCAACAAACGGGAATGCACTGAGAACGGCAATACGAACTCAGAACAGTGCTGCATCATTGGAAGATGGTTTGGCAGTTTCTTACAAAACTAAACATATTCTTACCATATGATCCAGTAATCTCACTTCTTGGTATTTACCCAAAGGAGCTGAAAACTTACGTCCACACAAAAATTGGCACATGGATGTTTATAGCAGCTTTATTTGCAACTGCCAAAACTCAGAGGCAACCAAGATGCCCCCAGTAGGTGAACGGATAAGCTGTTGTAAATCCAGACAATGGAATGGTATTCAGTGTGAAAAAGAAATGAGCTATCAAGCCATGAGAAGATATGGAAGGAGCTTAAATGCACATTACTAAGTGAAAGAAGCTAATCTGAAAAGATACATACTGTATGATTCCAACTCTATGACTTTTTGAAAAGGCAAAACTATGGAGACAGTAAGATCAGTGGTTTCCAGGGGTGGGGGTGGGACTTAGTGCAGGCAGGGGACTACCATGTAGTGACACTGCATGGTAGACACACGTCAGCATGCATTCATCCAAACCCTCAGAATGCACAACGCCAAGGGTAGACCCTCATGTGAACTGCCATCTTGGGTGACAGTGCTGTGTCGATAATGAATACAGAAATGGGCCGCTCTAGTGGGGATGGAGACAGTGGGGGAGACTGAGGGGAGGAGGTAGATGGGAACTCTTCGTATCTTACTTTCAGTTTTGCTGTGAACCTACAATGGCTCTAAAATATACAATCTATTAAAATTGAAAAAAAACGATGACTGTTGCTGATGCAAAAACGTATGACTCTCAAAAGCAAATCCTCTACTTCCTAAGGTACAACCTACACCTGCTTGTAACCAAAGCTCCTGTCATGGACAAGCCAGGATTTTCAGTTCTGGCCCTTATGGGGAGAAGAGCAGGATACTAACTACTCACTGGGTAAAAGTAGGAGGAGTCCAACAATGCTATTAAGGATTAGATTGAAATGGCGTAGTTTACGAGACAGGAAGGTAAAGATAGAAATAACCGAACAACTTGTCTTTGGGGTTTTTGTTTGTTATTCTTGTTTGGTTCCCTTAAACAGTAACCTTTAACAATTATCTTTAATTTAGTTCTATACACTACACTTATTATTTCTTCTTCATAAAAATGATTTTGACCTAACAACTTACTGGAAAAAAAGAGAGGACACAGAATAGATTCAAATAGGTTGTGAATTTGACACATGATCAAAGCAAGACAGAGAAAAGTGTTAAAACGAGACACCAGGTGCGTGCGCATTTTTGTATGTACAGAAAACCCTGAGAAGGAGGGGAGATGAGTGACCAGCGTGGCCTTGGGGAGCTGGGTGCTGTGGAGGAGGGGAGGAAGAGGCTCTCTGCTTGCTGTTGGAACTTTATGCTGCACAAGTTTTATCAATTCAGAGAAAGCAAATTAAATTTAAAACATGGCTGTGATCAGCCTACAGCCACCGTCACCATGTCTGAGTGAGTGGGGTCCATGTTCCAGACTTCACAAGAACTGAGATGTACGGCAGAGGTTTGGGGCCCACAGGGGCTGGGCCCGGTCAACCCACCTGGCTCTCCAACCGGATCCAGGGCCACGCTGACTAGTTTGCCATACTCGTCTCCTCTAGACTTCAGATCGAAGTAGACATTGCCTGTTTCATAAAGGTAATTATGAATCGATCATTTCTTGTAAAATATCAACACCTATACGAGCTTAATATCTAACAAGTAATTAGTATTTAAATACAGAAAATGACATTTGGCCTTATTTTGGCCCCTTTTAATAAATATATACACACACATACACACACACATATATGTATTGATACTTTTTAGAGATGAGGTCTTGGTATGTTGCCCAGGCTGGGATGCAGTGACTAATCACAGGTGAGATCACAGGGCACTACAGATTTGAATTCAAGCTCAAGGCATCCTCCTACCCCAGACTCCAGAGTAGCCTGGACTACAGGCACATGACAGCATTCCCAGCTTATTATCGCTCTGTTTTAGACAGAGTCTAGCTCCGCTGCCTGGGCTAGAGTGCCATCCTGTCATCAGAGCTCACAGCAACCTCAAACTCCTGAGCTCAAGGGATTCTCCTGTCTCAGCCTCCTGAGTAGCTGGGACTACAGGCATGCACCACCACGCCTAGCTAATTTTTTCTATTTTTTTTTTTTTTTTTTGAGACAGAGTCTCACTGTGTTGCCCGGGCTAGAGTGTCGTGGCATCAGCCTAGCTCATAGCAACCTCAAACTCCTGAGCTCAAGTGATCCTCCTACCTCAGCCTCCTGAGTAGCCTAGACTACAGGCCTGTACCACCATGCCCAGCTAATTTTTTCTATATATTTTGATTTGGCCAATTAATTTCTTTCTATTTTTAGTAGAGACTGGGTCTTGCTCTTGCTCAGGCTGGTCTCAAACTCCTGACCTTGAGCGATATGCCTGCCTTGGCCTCCCAGAGTACTAGGATCTTTTTTTTTGTTTAGTTGCCTAGCTAATTTCTTTCTATTTTTAGTGGAGACAGGGTCCCACTCTTGCTGAGGCTGGTCTCAAACTCCTGACCTCAAGCGATCCCGCCTCAGCCTCCCAGAGTGCTAGGATTACAGGTGTGTGCCACCATGCTCAGCCCCAGCTTAATATCTCTTTAACCAGAATTAAAAACAATACTATAGTATAAAACATGCATTTGGACACGAGTGTATGGGAGTGAGAGTGAAAACACAGACGTAAAGTTCTTTGTAACGTGTTGAGACAAACTTTTTTAACAGAGAAAAGTGTAATCATTGGCCTTCATTCAGCTGAATAAAGGCTTTAAGTTGCAAACCAACTAACAAAGACACTACTTTACCCAGATCTCCTAAGACTACTGTTGTACTTAGGTTAAAACACCCTCTGGATGCTGAAGTACCTGGGCAGCTGTTCCTTTGCTGAGACACCTACAGTCTCAGACCATGGTCCAAAAATAACCTTTGCAAGAGACCCCTGCAGAGCCAGGGCTGAGCCCTGCCACGTCCAACTATGAAGTACAAGGAAGCAGAGCTGAGGAAACGCTCGGAGTGGGGAGCTCCACCAAGAAGAGACCACTAACCCACGCCCCCGGGCTGGCCTGTGTGGCTGCACACAGCACGTTCCTCCCCAGGAAAGAGACGGTGCCAGTCAAGGTCGTGGACAGGCCACCCCCAGCATCAGACCTGCACCCACCAACCACAGTTAACAACATGTGGTTGGCATCAGGGCCCAAGTGTGGGTGTAATCTTTAGCCTTTACAAATTTTTAATTTTGAATCTTCATGTTCTTTATACTAATTCGTATCTGTACTAGCCTTACTGAGGACACTGGTCTTGCCAAGATCAAGGAAGCTTCTAGACTGGTAAACACGCCAGCACCAAGGACCAGCACCACGTCCTCGGTGTGTGGGGACAGGGCAGGCCCTAGGCTCAGAAGTCCCTGGTAGGAGGAAGGGGCAGAGTGGCTTCCAGGAGCCCCGGTGTCCCCCTGTGCGTTCAGACTTGACTGCTGGGCTGGAGCCAGGTGCTGGGGCGCAGCCACGGACGGCGGAGGAGACTCGGGCCCTGGGAGCCCCGCGCGGCAGTCAGACGCAGGCAGTGCTTTAAGGATGCGCCCAAAGAGAGAAGCTGCTCCCTTAAACAGAGAAAAGGAAAATTTCCCCATTCCTTTGTTTCTGTTATCAATTTGCTGAATAAATTGCTTTCCATCAATAGGCCAAAGATCAAATTATAGCCAAGCCCTTGTGGAGCTGTAACAAAGTTCAAACCACTGGGGTGTGAGTGAACCTAAGTGTGTTCTGCATCACTGCTACTTACACTATCATTAAACATTTATAATAAAACATAGAAGTAAAACAATAAAACAAGTAGCATTCATTCCTAAAGCATGTGAGGATGCAAACCCTAAGCACCACAGGAATATCCACCAGTTTATTTCTAAAACAGAAGCCCAGGTTTACATGTCTTATTTCAAGTTACACGACAACAGAAAAATAATTCCTCTGTGTTCTGGAACAAACTCCAGTCCAATTGCCTAAGTTCTTTAAAAAATTTTTTCTTGGAAACAAAATCTAAATAGGCCAAGTTAGCACAAATAAAAAGCCATAGTACTCCCACAGGGGTAGGTACCAGTGCTCCAGGTCAGACTCAGGAAGGAAGGTGCCGGGAGGCCTGTGAACAGTGTCCGGTGTTGTGCTTTATACTTTGTTATTGACTTGCAACAAACAGTCAACACGGCACACCTGCAGCCCCCGGTGGGACAATCTAATGGGTTACCCAGTAAAGCAAGAGGTTCTTAGGGTCTGAGAATTTACAATCTAGATGGGGACAAAACGTGCATACACTAAACAGCCAACTACTGCAGCATGGACTTGGCTACCAGATGGTACAGTACAGGTACCAAGGCTAAGAAAGACAGTTCACTTCTAGCTGTGGCTGGTGACAGAGGACTTCCCGTAAGAGATCAGTCTGTAGTGAGGGTATGCAGGACGAGAGGACTTGGACTGAGAAAAAAAGGTGAGAAGGGGCAGGTCCGGTGGAATTCAACGAGATCACAGAACAGCAACATGCCTAGACACCAGCCTTACCCGGGGACCACCTGAGAAGCATCCTTCTAGCCAACAGCACTGCCCATAGGAACTGACAGTGCAAACCCCGATGTTCTGTGTGACAGCTGGCCCTGCTGGTGTCTTGAAGGAGTCCCTGAGGAGGGGAAAAGTGAGCAGACTGGGAGATTAAGAGACTCACTGACATACGCACTCTCAAGAAACACCCTTGAGTAGATTAAGATGTAGGGACATGGGCGTCGGCTGTGACAGAGATTGGGGGACAGCTGAGTAAGTTTAGCATGGAGAGGACATGGGACACTGTTGGGAATTATTCACTGTCTCGGGCCTTGCGCTGATGTCGGGGCTCCTCTTATCCAGAGCTGCACTCGGAAGACTCAGAATGTGGCCAGCAGGTCATCCTCCATGGCCGGAGAAGAAAGGACAGCCACAGAGAAGACGACCCCGAAGGCCTTCCAAAAGGAGGGAAGGAAGGGGGGTTCTGGAGGGTCTGTGTTTATTTCCAACTTTGTGTTATGAAAATTTCTAAATGAAGATGGATGACGAGCAGTTGTGCAGCTGCCAGCCAGCCTCCACAGGTGCTACCAAGACCAGCTGTCCAGAGAGTCACCTCTTCCTGGCGGTGGAAACCGCATTCAGAGAGAACTGATTCAACAGCTTTGCACAAACACACGACACCACAGAAACCCTAGCGTTTCTGCTGTAGGAATTATATCCAGAGAGACAGTAAAATGTTTGGTGCATTCCAATAACTCATAAACATGTGCCCAGTTTCTCCAAATCCCATCGGTGTTACCCGATAGTCAGTTTAATGATGTAAACCCTACCTTTTGCCGTGGAGTAGGCGTGCCCACGAGCAATTATTCCTTCGATGAAAGAGATGATCTGAGGAATGTTTTCGGTGACCCTCAGATACACTGTGGGCGGCAGCACCTGGAAGAAAGTGGAGCTGTGAGCTCGTCCCGTCTGCAGCCCGGGGCCAGCGGCTCCTGGGGCCCGCCATCCCGCGGCAGGAAGACTAGGCCGCACGCGTTACCTTCAAGGCTGCCATGTCTTGCTTAAAATCTTCCTCGTAACGACTGGCGAGAGAAGCGGGCGATATGTTCATCTGCAGAAGGATCAGATGAGCACTGCAGTAAGTCTGGAGCATTCACGACGGAAACATAGAGCGGCGAGAAAGCCCACTGGCCCAGCCAGGGCACGCTTACTCCGGCTGCCTCCCGTGGGCGGGTGGCCGCGGGGCCCTGCTGTGGCTCCCACCAGGCCTTGCTGACTCACGACGGGGACTTTAACATTAGGCACCAAACTTACACCAAAGCCTCAGCTAGTCTAAAAGGCTTATGACCTTCTTTTCTGGTTAGAGAGAAAGGGAATAAATAATGTCACAATTTTCATTACATAATAATAAAAAAAAAAACCAAACACACCAAAAATCTTCCACTTTTCTAAGACAAGAGCAACATCAATCTAGTCTACACAATGACAAGCAAATTCAGTTTCTATCTCAGCCCTTAACCTTCAGGAAGAAAACAGCCAAAAATACATTAAGAGGAAATCGCTAAAGAAATATTTTGAAAGTAATTTACCACACTAAGAATAGGACTTTAAGGGCAATCTGAAGTCCCGCAGGCCCCACTCTGGGGATGGGTCAGACCGCCGAGGCCGTACACCTGGCTCTGAGTGTAGTTGGTCAGGGGCACGTGTCTGCAGTCCCTGCAAGGTTCTCATGAGAACACAAAATGAGGCCCACTCGTGTGATTTCTGACTTTTTACCAGAAAGCACTCCACAAACAGATGCACAGGCACCATAAAGTTCTGAAACTGAGCCAGGATTCCTATGTGTTGATCTGGCACAAGTGCTCCCCGAGCCACCCCAATTCAGCCAGCATTTACAGTGCACCTGCTGTGTGCTAGACTCTCGGCGGACCCACTGCACCCATAGCTCTGGAAAATAGCTCTCCTCATTTGACAGGTGGAGGAATTTCTGCTCTGGAAAATTAAGAAACTTCCTTAAGCAAAATGCCACATGGGGCCAGGTCCCAACCACATTGCCCTGAGGCCCACACTCCCCCAGCCCGGGGCTCTAACACGGCAGCCACCCTAGAAACCTCAACCAATGACTATGCGCTGAAGGAAGAAATCTGGTGAACTAAGTGCTGCTACCAGGTGTCTTTTGAGCTTTGTAGTTTTGTACAATCAATAATCTAAACCTCTCAGCCTTCAGTATCTTTGCAACACAGAGCTAATTCCACCTAATAATCCCTTAGAAGGGTATGAAGATTCAATGTGCATACAGGTAAGACAACCTTGTAAAAGAAATACACAGTATTTAATATCACTATCAAAGAAAATATACAGAGCCTAGCATATAGGTGGTACTCCAATCCCTTTCTTGGGGTATAGCTTTGTGGCAAAACAGACCTTATAAAAAATAGATCAGTTAATTTATATCCTATCTAGAGGATCAAAAGACCAAACAAAAAAGCCTAAAACTAGTGTCCTCTTGCCACTTCAGAAGGTTCAACTACAATGGAATTTTGGACAGAAAGATCAGGAAGCTGCTTTACCTTTAATTTTTTTTTTTTTGAGACAGAGTCTCGCTTTGTTTTCCCAGGCTAGAGTGAGTGCCATGGCGTCAGCCTAGCTCACAGCAACCTCAAACTCCTGGGCTCAAGCAATCCTCCTGCCTCAGCCTCCCAAGTAGCTGGGACTACAGGCATGTAGTCTACAGGCATGTAGTGCCACCATGCCCGGCTAATTTTATATATATATTAGTTGGCCAATTAATTTCTTTCTGTTTATAGTAGAGACGGGGTCTCACTCTTGCTCAGGCTGGTTTCGAACTCCTGACCTCGAGCAATCCACCCGCCTCAGCCTCCCAGAGTGCTAGGATTACAAGCGAGAGCCACCGCGCCCGGCTTACCTTTAATTTTAATTAAAGGTAATTACTTCCCCTGGGAATAAATTACTATATAGGTATTATGCCCCTGACGCAATACACTCTGCAGGTAATTTATTCCCAAAGGAATTTAAGTGATATAAAGGGTGCCCAGACCCAGCTTCCTTCCCAGACGGAAAACACTGTGGCCAGTCGTCTCATGAGCATACACATGTGTATATATGCTTTTGTGTCCTTTGCTTAGAATCCCCACATGTGGCCTGGTGTCCACTCTGCTCTGCACTCCTGGCTTCTTTTCCTAACACACAGAAACCCAGAGATCTGTCTGTGCTATATGCACATTTGTCAAACTGTACCTTTGTGAGTAATATATGCAATCTACTATAGGTAATTCTATAATAAAGCTGTGGAAAAAACATATATATATATATATATATATATATATATCACACACACACACACATACACACACACCAAAAATCTCCTATAGCTTTTTAAATGTTTTAATATCTGGTAATAGTCCCTCCTCAATATTCCTTTACACACTTTTCCTATCCTTGCTTTTTTTTGCTGCTCCATATAAACTTTAGAATTATCCATTACTGGTTCTGAAGGGGACGATCACATATACACATACACATGAACACGCACACACACTTTAAATGACACATCAGGTGTGACATTCCCCAAACAAGCAGCTCGCCTTTTTCCACACACGGCTTCTCTGGCTCAAACAGCACAACGCCAGAAAACACTGCTCATGAATGCCCTCATGTCAAACTGTGAGGGGAATGACTATCACTGCGAGTGCTGGGGAGAGGGAAATCATATACTAAAAGCCACATTATTAAATTTAATATTTAAGTAGCTGATCTTGCCATATATGTGGATAGCACTGTTTTTTCTCACTCAACATGAGGTAGACAAGTGCTAAAATAGGGTCCCAGTACTTATCATTTCAGGTTACCTTCCAGGTCCCCTTATCAGAGTAAGTCATCTTAAGTCAGCTCTCTCCCCACCAGGGAACCCAGCTGGGCTGGACCTGCCGCACTCAGACCATGTCCAGCCTTTCCTGAACATGCCACCTTCTTCCCAGAAAGGCAGGGCAATGCATGCCAGTGTCCTGAAGCATGAAGAGTAACCGTGGCTTGAATCACTCTGAGACCTTCATTATGACTTTTCTCAACATAAAATGTTACTATGCAAATATAGCACACATGTCTTTTTTTAATTCCTACCCAGACTCATTTAAAACCTCCTGTGGTTTTTCTCCCTGACAACCTATGAAATTATGCCAAAAATTAAAGTCAAGGGATCAATTCAGAAAAGTATAATATAATTTACAATATTTTAAAAACAAGTCTTGGAGTAGATGGCATGAAAGATATCACCATCATCAAAACTGCTTGCATTAGAAGCCACCCGAGTGTCCACTGGTGGAAGAACGAAGAAAGAAAATGTGGTGCAGCCTGCCCTCCCGTCCTCAGGTTCTACATCCATGGATTCAACCCACCTCCAGTGGAAAGTATTTAAAAAAAACCAAAACACAAATTCATTGCAAGAATATGCAACAACAAAAAATTGAGAGAAAAAAAATTTTTAAATCAATAATAACAATACAATAAAAATATAATTTTTAAAAAACTACAGTATAATAACTATAGATCATTTATATCATATTAGGTATTATAAGTAATCTAGAGGTGATTTAAATTATATGGGAGGATGAGTGTAAATTAAATGCAAATACTGGACCATTTTATCTCAGGGACTCAAGCATCTGACTTTGGTATTGGCAGGGTCCTGGAACCAAACCAATCCCTGGAACATAACGAGAGAGACAATGCACACAGTGGAACAATAATCAGCCTTAAAAAGGAAGGAAATTCTGACATAGGCTACAACATGGATGAACCTTGAGCGTGATGCTCAGTGAAACCTGCCCGTCACAACAGGACTAATCCTGCATGACCCATTAACATGAAGTTGAAGCCAAATCCACAAGGATGGGGAGGAGAAGGAGGGCAGCGGAGGGGAGGGGGGGGGATGTCAGCGTTCCATGGGTGCAGAGTTTCAGTTTGGGAAGATGAGAAAGTCCTAGAGATGGATGGTGGTGACAGCTGAACAACAGGGTGAACGTATTTAATGCATTTAATTTAATTTAATGTATTTAGTGGTTAATATGGCAAATTTTACATTATGTCATAAAAAAGGTTAAAAAATGAGAAAAATAAGTTTTTATTTTACCTTCAAAAATAAAGCCGGCATTAGATACAAAGAGCCTTTTCACTAAATACTAAAATACAGATGTTTTTATAACTATGGATTTCAGATGCATGGTTTATTCTATTAAAATAAAACACTAGGCTAGGCACGGTGGCTCATGCCTGTAATCCTGGCACTCTGGGAGGCCGAGGCAGGAGGATTGCTGGAGGTCAGGAGTTTGAAACCAGCCTGAGCAAGAGCAAGACCCCTTCTCTACTATAAATAGAAAGAAATTAATTGGCCAACTAATATATATGAAAAAAATTAGCCAGGCATGGTGGTACATGCCTGTAGTACCAGCCACTCTGGAGGCTGAGCAGGAGGATTGCATGAGCCCAGGAGTGTGAAGTTGCTGTGAGCTAGGCTGATGCCACGGCACTCACTCTAGCCTGAGCAACAAAGTGAGACTTTGTCTCTAAAAAAAAAACATTATTTTGAGGAAAAAAATATTCAATCCATCTTGGGACCTTGCCCTATAACAAGTATGGAAATTTCCAGATGTTAAAAATTAAACACTCTCTACAGTTAGGATGCTCAAACCAATTCTACCAACTTTCTCATATTCTAATCATTATAACATTTTTAGAAAGTTCACACCCATTGCTTCTGGAAGTTGACCTTAAAGAAAAAATAAAAAAAAAAAAAGTAAAAAGAAAGTTCACACCCAGTCCCTCCTCATGGCTTCCTGAAAGCCTTCCTGCCTTGGACCCCCAGCTCTCCATCCGCTTCTCCCACGGCCAGCCCAGCCTTCTTGCCGTCTCCCCACCTCCTCCACGATGCCCTCCCAGCACACCTGGGCCTCGACTGCCTCTTGGTGCCACAAGGCTCCCTCCAGAGCCTGAGCAGTCTCCGCTTCCACCACCTCTCTGCCACCAGGACACGGGGGCTGAAGTTTCTACCTCTGACTTTGAAGACTTGTGAGAGGCCTGAAGTCACCAACCACCTGCCTTTCAGGTGCTGACTGGTACGTGGCCGGCAAAAGCCCTGAACTGCTGACTGTCCTTCTTCACCAGCCTGTGTCCTCACACATCACCTCGCTGTGGGGTTGCCTTGCAACCAGGCATTCACGCACAACCTTGCACATCACTTGTCTGCCTTCTAAATCCATCTAACCCGACCCTCAAATGCTAGAGCTGAGGACGTGAAGAAATACCTTTGAAGGCAGAGCCAATTTTCAGCACTGCCAATACTTCTCTCAACAATCTGACTCTAAGAAAAGTTCTAAGACATAAAATAAACTGTTCCCACTTTGACTCAGTAATTCCACTTTGAGATATACATTTACAGGGAAACAAAAGAAAAACATATATATTCATAGCAGCACTCTTTTCAACAGCTAGAAACAATACAAACAGTTAAGAATGGGGAAGAGCTAGGCAAACTGCTCAACAGCCACACACAATAGGATACTACCTAGTGATTAGAAAGACAAATCAGTAGAAAATAGGAATATACAATTCCCTCAGAATCTTCCCCAAAGACCTCCTCACACCATTACTCTAAGCAGCCACACAAGAGGTAAGAGAAGGGCCCTGTTCACTTAACAAATGAAAGTTCAACCTCCTTTCAGATAAACACCCCAGCCCAAAAGTGGCCTTTTGACTTCTGAGTCAATATGCTTTAGTCACTAGTTTTGTCTCATTTCTACATTAGACTGCCAAAACCCCTGCCCAACTGATTATTCTAAGAGAGCCTGAGGATACTCCACATTCACAAGAAGATGTGGGGTGTTACTTAGGTTAAAGAGGTGGGAAGACCCAGTCCAATGACAGGCAAAATGCAATCATTCAAATATCACAGACTTAAAGTATACACACACACAAATATATATGTATATCTTAAGAAATCTAATATTTTTTTTAATAAAAGGCTATCAGAAACATTGCTGTGGTTTGAACGTATGTCTCCTCGAAAACTTCGAAAAAGCAGTGCAAATGGCAAAGGTATTATAAGACTACATCCAGGATGGCTGCTCACATCAAAATTAGGTCAACTTTACTTAAATTCCTTCATAACATTCAGGAAAAGGAAATAAACAGCTAATACACAAATGATAAACAGCTAATAAACAACTAATACACAAATGAATAGATTATATGCTAAACTGCGCTGAATTGTGAAAATGGGCAAAATGTTTGGAGAGGACGCTGATTAGGAAAAGCGCCCTAACAGTGACCAGAGATGGGGACAGCCATTACAAGACAGTACATTGGGCAGTACAAGAAAGGTAAAGTCAAATGACCCCTAAAGCCCTCTGGCAAGAGGTGAAGTACAGGGTCCTGGGCCCCCAGCCACCTGGGAGAACCCAGGGAGACACCCCCAACATCTTGCTAGCCTGCCCTCAGGCTCTCAAGGACACCTTCATCCACTGAGTCTTCCTGAGGCTCCATGTGGGGCCAGACTCCACAGAGGCTCTCAGCCTGCACAGGAAAGAGATGCTTGTGCTACCTGCCACAAGTACTCAAGCCGTTCTCATCAGGCAGAGGGGTCCCGCCTGGAAAGGGCCAACGTCGGAAGCCCTGGGCATGCGGCCCTGTTCTCCAAGGTCTGTGCTACCTGGAGACTCGGCTCAGCCTTTTGACACCTTCTGTAAGATGGGACCACTCAGTGGATAAACTCGGAGGGTCATCCTACACAGTGAGACCATTAAGGACATGAGATGGGAAACTCCTACAGACAGAAGGAGACTATGGAGAAATAACAGGATTCTAGAAGGGGTCCTGGACCTAAAAAGGAGGTGCTGTGGGAGGGGGCGGCCTCTGCATGGGGCCTGTGACTGATGGCCTTGTCACCAACATCAGCTGCTGCATCGATGCCCAGCTCTTGACTGAGAGCATGGAGCCACACGTGTGAGGCCTTGTCCCTGAAGATGCAGCGTGCAGAGAGGACGGGCAGCATGCCAGAAAAGTCTAAGGACACACAGAGAGAAGGTGATAATGCAAGGACAACAACCAGGAAATCCAGGCAAACGGGTACAGGAGTTCTTTGACTGCTCTCACAATTTTTCTGTAGATAAAAAATTATTCCAAAAAAGTTTTTAAATTTTGAATAAAATGTGTTTTAAAAGGTGCAATGAGGTCTGCTCTGCCTAGCACACTCAGTGGTTCTCAGACTCAAGTGGTAATGAATGTAAACACTGTTAAGAGACATAGAAACAGGCCGGGCGCCGTGGCTCATGCCTGTAATCCTAGCACTCTGGGAGGCCAAGGCGGGCAGATTGCTCAAGGTCAGGAGTTTGAAACCAGCCTGAGCAAGAGCAAGACCCTGTCTCTACTATAAATAGAAAGAAATTAATTGGCCAACTAATATATATAGAAAAAATTAGCTGGGCATGGTGGCGCATGCCTGTAGTCCCAGCCATTCGGGAGGCTGAGGCAGGAGGATTGCTTGAGCCCAGGAGTTTGAGGTTGCTGTGAGCTAGGCTGATGCCACGGCACTCACTCTAGCTTGGGCAACAAAGCGAGACTCTGTCTCAAAAAAAAAAAAAAGAGACACAGAAACGAAAGTCATTGTTAGCTGAAATAAAGTATGTTCAGTGTCAAGGATTGGTGGCTCTGATCCCCTCAATAAAGAGAAAGTAACTTATTTTCCTTGGTGGCTGAGGGGACCAGGGCAGGGATTAAAGGCTCGAGCCAGGAGCCTGCCACAGAATGAGGAAAAGCATCAAAAGGCTCTGGCAGCCACAATTCAATTTCCTTCACTAGGACAACAAAGATTACGCAGATAACCTGTCATTGTTTCACGTCATAGTTATACTCACTGGGCCACATATGGACAGTAAGCTGTGAGAACTACTTGTAAAATACAAATGAGAACCACCGTCAGGTAAGATTCAGAACACTGATCAATAACATTACCATAAATGTAAATCTTGTCTGCTTACCTCATTGGCCCGTTGGATTATTTTGTCATCCACATCTGTAATACCCATCACCATGACTATGTTGCATCCAAAAACTCTGGTTAGGATCCTTCGAATTATGTCAAATCTCACATATGAGCTAAAAGAAAAAAAAGTCAGGATGTCTTTAATACACAAAGTTGTCATTGTTTTCTTATTTTAAAAAATGCACTATATTTTCATATGCTGCTACATGACCCAACTGTGTAATACACTTGACAGTTTGAGTGGATCTAGTAAATGGAAAAGCCTCTTCACAGACTGGACACTGTGGGTCCAAATGAGAAAAAGTATTGCACAAATTTCAGGGCACAATATTAGCATTTTTAGTTTTAGAGCTGTTGTTTAAGTGAATTTACATCTGTTTGATCATATAAAAATACACTCATATTACAATCTCACTAGGTAGTTAAAATACTGAGAACTTTAACCATTTCTGTTCATATTCTAAGGAAATTCTAATTTTTCACTCTGACAAAATACATAAAAGCAAATGATGACAAATCAAGTGTAATCCCATTAAAGATATATAAGATTACTCCTAAGAATGTATACACCAATGCAGACTATTAAAATGCCAGCTTAATTATATACTACATGGGCAACTCAGACTTTTAAAACCAAAGGGGTTTAAAATCCATTTAAAATCTCAAGAACCTGGGTTCCCATAAAAGCAACCTTAAAACTCAAGGTCAGCTAATCTTATGCTCATCTCTGTCATCCATGTGGCCTCTATAAATTTGAGTTCATAAAATTGTTATTGTATCACTTTATCTCCCACCCAACCCCAACATAGCTGAGGCCAAATCTCCAATCCAGTGACAAAGCTATCGTCAAAATTCCTTGCCAAGATACATAACCTCTTAAAGCCTTAGTCTGCTTACTTACAAACTGGGCAAAATCCCAGCAACCCACAGGATCACTGTGTACAATCTTAGAGCCTCTGCAGCACTTGTGTCTAAAAACACAAGCTGTTATTGCTATTATCGTCACTATGCCCTTCATTAGTCTTGAGTTTGGAGGCTCTACAAGAAATGAGATTTAAAAGAAAAATTAGCCAGGCTTGGTAACTCATGCCTATAATTCTAGCACTCTGGGAGGCCGAGGTGGGCGGATTGAGCTCAGGAGTTCAAGACCAGCCTGAGCAAGAGCGAGATCCCGTCTCTACTAAAAAAAAAAAAAAAAAAGAAAGAAAGAAAGAAATTAGCTGGACAACTAAAAATACATAGAAAAAATTAGCCAGGCATGGTGGTAAATGCCTGTAGTCCCAGCTACTCGGGAGGCTGAGGCAGAAGGATTGCTTGAGCCCAGGAGTTTGAGGTTGCTGTGAGCTTGGCTGATGCCATGGCACTCAACCCAGGCAACAGAGTGAGACGAAAGAAAGAAAGGAAAGAGAGGGAGGAAAGAAAGGAAGGAAAGAAAGAAAAGAAAGAAAGGAAGAAAAAAGAGAAAGAAGAGAAAGAAAGAAAAGGAAGGAAGGAAGGAAGGAAGGAAGGAAGGAAGGAAGGAAGGAAGGAAGGAAGGAAGGAAGGAAGGAAGGAGAAAGAAAAGGAAGAAAGGAAGGAAGGAAGGTGGAAGGAAGGAAGGAAGGAAAGAAGGAAAGAAGGAAGGAAGGAAAGGAAGGAAGGAAAAAATTAACAGGAACCTAAAGCAAACAAAAACAAGAATCAAGTCACATTCTTGGCCCTGAGGAGCACGGGATGTCCCAGAAGTGCCCTGCATGGCCTTCTGCAACTGGAGGCTCCCAGTTGCTGTGGGCGGGCTGGGACCACAGTGGCATGCACACACACCCCTGCAGGCGTCCGGCACTAGGAGACCTCAGCTTCCTTCTGTGACTCCACTTGACCGTGTGACTGTTAGGCAGGCTCTTTACGCTCTGGTCCCTGCCCTCCCGCTCCATCAAGGGAGGGTGCAAATCTGGATTATGATGCTTGCACGTGTGGATGATGATGGCTAAGACTATTGTCAGCGCTAAGAGTCTTCACTCAAAACATTCCAATGTGACTTCATCTACTGTGAGATAAAACCCAAATCGTTTGGGCCAGAAAATACAACACCCTCCCCAATCTGGCCACAACCAACCCCCTCACCTTTTCTCCCTCTCCTCCCCTATTTGAGACAAACTGGCCAATGTGTTCTCCCCCAAACAGGATTTGCACCCCTCTGCCAACCTCTTCTGGAAACATCAGAGGCCATTTTTCAGGGTGTCTCTGTCTACTTAATTGAGCCTAGGTATCCTCCACATTCTCGCTCAAATTCTGCCCTGTGTAGTAGGCACTGCCCTGCCCTGCTGGAGCTGAAATTAGATCACAATAAAAGTTAAATGATTGAGCAAATAACCACTGAAGCATTTACAGAACTGAGACAACTGTGGAAAGGTGGGGAAGGACGACAGTGGGTAAGGCAGAGCACAGGTGGGGCAGGGACACCCTCCACACTGGGGAGAGGACACGCCAGGGGGTAGTCCCAGACCCTGGGAAAGCCCCACGTGGCCAGAGCTTACAACATTCATTCAGCTGTGCACTTAAGACTTGTACTGTTTTCTGTATTTGTAAGGGCAAATACACATTGAAACTGTAAGACTAGATTCTCCTAGCTGGAAATAAGGGAAGAGACTCCTTTTCAATGTGTGTAAGTCTTTCAAATGGCCAAAATAAGCCTCTAGCCAGTCTCACAACTCAGGGAACTTTGAAAACCTAGAAACCATCTCTGAAATGTAGTCAAGGAAAACGACACCCCATTTCCCAGTGTCAGGGAGGAGATGGGCCTAACTTGTCATCTGGCTCCAAATTGTTAAAACCCACCTAAAACAATGGGTTGTGCTGTGGCCTGAAAGTCTGTGTCCCTCGCAAATTCATGTGTTGAATCCTAACCCCAAGGTGATGGTATTGGGAAGTGGGGCCTTTGGGAGGTGATTAGGTTATAGGACAGAGACAGGGGATCAGTTATAAAAGACACCTGAGAGCCTCCCTCAGCCCTGTCGCTTCCACCATGTGAGGACACAGCAAGAAGGCACCATCTATGGACCAGCAAGCAGGCCCTCATGAAATACTGAATCTGCTAGTGCCTTGATCTAGGCTTCTCAGCCTCAGAACAATGAGATGTAAATTTCTGTTTAAAAGCTACCCAGTATTTTGGTATTTTGTTACAGCAGCCCAAATGGATTAAGACAGGTGGCATCCCCAAAGCTCTTTGAAAGGGTGAGATTTCTGTCTTTGCAATCATTTCCTTCTGGTTTAATATTTATTTAATATGAAAATCATTTTCTTTTTCTTCTACCTTTGGGGAAAATTTGCAGGTTGGAAGGATATTTGGTTTTTAATATTTCCCCAACATATTTTATAATTCAACAAAGACATCAAAATATGCTTTTGATAATGAACTGTGAGTTAGTCCAAAGGGAAGGAAAAAAAATACAATTCCTAGACTACTTTATTTTTGTTATAAGAAAACTCAAAGCCGGGCTCGGTGGCTCACGCCTGTAATCCTAGCACTCTGGGAGGCTGAGGCGGGCGGATTGCTCAAGGTCAGGAGTTCAAAACCAGCCTGAGCAAGAGCGAGATCCCGTCTCTACTATAAATAGAAAGAAATTAATTGGCCAACTGATATATATATAAAAAATTAGCCGGGCATGGTGGCACATGCCTGTAGTCCCAGCTACTCGGGAGGCTGAGGCAGAAGGATCGCTCGAGCCCAGGAGTTTGAGGTTGCTGTGAGCTAGGCTGACGCCACGACACTCACTCTAGCCTGGACAACAAAGTGAGAGTCTGTCTCAAAAAAGAAAACTCAAAAAAGGTTCCCATCTTGCTGGATGATATATCATTTTTTTAAAAGTGTACAGAGTAAATGTATAACTTCTTACTTTTAGTTTAGGTCTGAACAATAAATACCAAGTTAAAAATGTATAAGAAGTCATTTTCATATACTATATTTACAAAATGTAAATATACAAAATATTAGGAAACTTTGTATAGTAACTTTGACAAACATAGAAAGCACTATGTCTTACAGTCAAGAGGTCAAGAAAGAAAAATTTTGGCAGAGAAATCATCTTCACCCCAGTTCCAACACTTTTTCAATGTGTGCCCTTGAGAAAGTCAAAGTAATTGTGGAGCCCTATGACACATCGAATGTCAGGTACGGTGGTAAGCAGCACTTTGTGGGCATTATTTACTAAAATTGTTGTGAGGATTCAAAAAGATGGATACTATTATCATCTCCATCTCCAAGCAACAGTGACTTGTCCAAGGCTGGGAAGCTGATGAGGGTGGGGACAGGAATTGACTTTGGCCAGCTAGATGCCCCGGAAAGGTCCCTTTTTGTTGGTGGTGGTGCTTCTTAAAAATGTTTTACTTCTCTTTGCTTTCTTAAAGTTTTCTTTATACCAACAAAGTGAAGGCAAACAAATGGAAGGGTCTCTTAATGTCATTAAATCTACTAACAAATATTTAATTCTAAAACAGGTCATTTTTCACTGCTTCACATTGCTGCCCTGAGTTTCCTCCCCTATAAAATGGGTACAAATGCTCAGAATCTCTCCAGGAACTAAATGAGACTATAACGTGTGCCCACAATGCCTGTCACGTAGTGACTACTCAGGACCCTTAAGTTGCCTTTTGAGGAATGAAAAAAACCTGCAAAAGGCTTATCCTTTCCAAAATAAATGGTTTCCTGAAATGTGAAAATTCGAATCCAGGAGACTCACCAAGCATGGCCAAGGTGTGCATGATCATATACAGTTGGTCCACAGCTATACCTAGGAACAAAGTTAAAATCCAAGTGAAGCATATTTGCAAGAAAGAGCATTCAACTGTCATAATGATCATATAATCACTACTTTTAAGTAACCTCTTGTGGCGGATGCACAGCCGAGGGACTATACCCAAACCACTCAATTCGCACCCAACCTGTGCGGGCAGTGCACACACCCCAGCGTCGGGAACACTTCCCGGGAGCCCCGCGCCGCCCCACACCGCCGGTGCCCGCGCACACGCACCAAGAGGCGGCCCCGGCGCCAGCCACGATCAGGGGTTCCTTCTTCCCAGTGAGGCTGTTGTGCACCTGCACGCCCGTGTCCCGGCCCGCGGGCCTCAGCCAGGCCTGCCCGCGCCCCGCACTCGCCGGCCGGCCCGCGTGCCGCGGCCAGCCCGGTCTCCCGAGGCCCAGCGCGGCCCGGAACAGCCGGGCGCCCAGGCCGGGCTCGCGCGTCCACAGCATGACCGCGGCGAGCGCCGGCGACAGCAGCAGGGCGGGGCCGCGCAGGAGCAGCCCTGCTCCCGGGCCCCGCCCCCCGCCAGGCCCCGCCCACGCCCGGAAGAGGCCGGCGGCGCCCCTCGGGCCCTGGCTCGCGCCCTCCCCTGCAGGGGCGGGGCCGGGGGCCTGAGGGCTTGGGGGCAGGGCGCGCGCCCGGAGGCCGCAGGAAGCGGCGGATCGCGCGCTACCTTCCTGCTGGCGCGAGCGAGCTGGGCGTCCGGGCGGCGCCAGGGCCGGCTCCCGGAGCACGTCTGCACCCCAGGGCACGGATTGCGCCCGGGTACACACAGCACGTGTGCACCCCAACCCTCAGTCCTGGAATCTCGGGATTCAACGTCCCAAACAAGGAACTTACCAATTCATCAAGTACGTGTAGCTGCAAATGTTTGCTTGGGATTCATTTTAAGGTTAAAAGTTCTATCATACCATATCTTGAGAATCCATTCAAATTTTCTCGACCAACATGCCCCTATTGGGATCTTGCAATATAGTGTCTACGCCCCTCCCCCCAAAAAAACCCTTTGCTTTTGCAGTACTCAAAACAGCACAGAGGTTCCTCCGTTCTTTTAGTGTGCTTTGATGCCCCATTGAAAAGCAAATGATTAAGTAGAGACAAACAAGTTTGTCCTAGAGTACTTAATGTTTTCTGAATATCCAAGAGTCCAATTCTACAATTCTGTCTCAAGCTAGACTGTAGTCTAATGTAAACCTGTTCTAATGTATAAGGCTAAAATGTTAGAACCTGTTGTTCAGAATTAGGAGACCCTATACTGTAGGTCAGTGCTAACCACTCATGTTCCCTAACTAAATTCTCCTGGAATATCACTTCCTCACCGCCAGTGCAGTACTTAAGTTATTTTGTAATTGTCTCGTTTCTAGTGCAATGTGTGTTCCTCTCCCTGAGCACTCTAGATTGTAAATTCTTTTGAACTTATCACTATATCCTGCACTAAATTCAGAAAAGGGCTTGTTGAACGTTGTTGAATTAATCCCTCATGAAATCCACCTGTTGTGCAGGTGGGAAGAAATCTGGGCAGTGAAATACCTGATAGAGAAAGCTCTGATTCAGATATTAGAAGTGCCAGTAAAAATGGCAAATGAACAAAAAGCTCGGCTGCAATCTGTGAGAACACTAGGAATGCAAGGAAAGAGCTAAATTCAAAATTTGGAAACATATATAGTAACACTGAAGACCAAATCTACACATGAATCTGGATAACAAGCATATTTGAATTGGCCATAGAAAATCCTGACTTTAACAATGGCATCTTCTGTCTTCAGAAAATTGGTCACGTACGTGTTCAGTCCTTTGCTGGCAGCAATTCTATGCTTTCCCAAGACTTTCGAGGATCATCAAAACAGTTACAAAAATAACCCATTATTTAATGATTATTACAAATATGACCTTTTGCATATTGAATATTAAAGTAAAGTAAAATGGACTGGGAAGCTTTATTACCATATATAACAAAAAAGAGTATGCTCTTAATTTGAAGTTATCTACCCAATCTAGGTCAGAACAAGGAAGTGTATTAAAATTATCAACTCCAAAATATCATGAATGCCATTTCTTAATACTTAATGACAACAACCAAATGTACTCCATTTTCTTTCAAGGCAAAATTTTGTAAATCCAAAGTAGGGTACATTATGGTAGCATATTGTATAGGGCTTTTCAAGTTTAAGATGAATGACTTAGCATTTATTTTTAAGCATCTCAAAACATTAATAGTTTTTTGTTCATCTGTTATATTTTATTCCCATAGGTTTGAGCATCTCCAGCTGAACTAAAAATATAGTTTTAGAAAAAAGTCTGGACATCTATTTTTGCAGTATACCACAAGGAGCAAAACTGAAACAGCCAACATTCTTCAATGTTTCTTCAAAATTAAGCACTTTTCCATAGTGGCATATTTAAAATGCACCATCAGAGTTAAGTCTGTTTTAGCTACTGGGCTTCTAAGCTTGTTAAGAAAACCACTATGTAAAGCCAATAAAAAATAAAATATTTTCTTACTTTTTAGTCCTAGAGGTGGATTAAACGTCCTACGGAATGTAAGCTCCTTATTCTCTCCCCAGCGCACAGAACGGTAGCTGGCGCATAGTAAGGCGCTCCTCAAGTATTTCTCACTGATTAAGATGCCTTTTTTGTTTATGTATATGTAAAGTTCATAAACAACGAAAGAGGAAAGAAATGATTTGTCACATATTGTGATTTTTAAAAAAAATGATAACCTAGGTCAGACTCCAGCTTGATTATCTTTGGATAATCAAAAGGTAAATTATTTCTAAGCTTTATTGAGATCAAATAAACACTATTAATTCTAGAGCCGATAAGTGCTAGGATTAAGAGAACCTCTTTCTTGCTATTGTACTTTTAAATTGCTTATATGTTCTCTGAGGAAAAGGCATAATTTTTCACATTCAACTTTGTACCCCCTCTGTATTCCATACGTTTCTGTTTCCACAGAATGTTATAGTCTTTTGTGCAGACTAATGGCCAATAAATGTTGGGAGAAATGAAACTTTTACTCATTTGCTTTTAACTGGGCCAAGACTGGAAGAAGCGTGAATCTATAAGTAAAACTACCAACTATTTCTCCAAATATCAAAGCGAACGCTCTCCTGATACAGGGGTAAGATGAAAGTGCCTAAGAATGAAGATTAAATCCGCTTCAGAGTGTAAATAGTACTCATCATTTAACACTGCAGCAACGTTCCAATGTGAACAATTCCAAATAAAAAACGGCTCGATTCAGTCTCATTTGCTGTGCTGACATCCATACCATAAAATACAAATCGCTGGAATGAACGCCACTGCAGTTAATAATCTATTTACTGGATTAACCTGAAATGTTACTGTATTACACAGAATACTTTGTAAAATTTTCAAATGGTTTCAAATGTCATGCAGTGTTTCATCGAAAACGCAACACCAGAATATGCAACCATTTAAACTGCAATTATTTTATGTCTAAGGTAGTGTATCCTATTTCGCAACAGGATAAACCCGAGAGATACAAGCTGAAAGCCCACACTGTCCAAATTAAGAGGACAAGAAAAATGGAGAACTGCGCTGGCGCAGAGCTGACGGAGACCCTGCAAGGGCTGGGGTTGAGCTGAGCTCACAGAACACAGTACACAGTATCAGCGACCCGACTCTCCGAGAAAGATAAAATCTCACGGGCAGGCTTAAGCACCAGGCACGGCTCTCCAACCCGGCGGAAAAAAGACGACGCAATTGGGAAGACAGGAGGGCTCAAGCAGAAGCCAGGCGTGGCCAGCGCGGCTCTCGAGTCGACCTCGGAGGGGACATCGGCAGCCGCAGCCCAGCCGGGCTCGCGGCCGGACTGTACCCGCGGCGGCCGGGCGAGCAGGGACAAAGGCGGGAGCGCCCGGCCTCAGCGAGACCAGCGTAACCACGCCCCGGGGCCGTTCCTCCGCCGGAACGGGGCGGGGCCTGCGCTCGGGCCCGTCGTCTAGGCAACGGGTGCGCTCGGCGTCCGGCTTTTCAGAAAGCCCTAAATCCGGGAGTTTCGGGCGGGGAGAGGAGCTCCGGGGGAGGGGAGGGCGCCCGGCCGCTGGCCCCGGGCGCCCTGTTGGTTTGGGTGGTCCTCCCAAGTGCAGGGAGCGGACTCGGAGCGCACTTCATGGCATGGGGCGGGGAAGGGTCTAGGGAAAGCGTCGCTTCCGCGCCTGCCCTGTGCGGGGGCTCGACCCTGGAGAGCAGCTTCCCTCTTGGGCCCCTTTGTCTCCAAACCGTTCCACACTGAGCTCCGGGAGGCGACACAAAGGGAGGGAGGTGACAAGCAGCGCAGGCGCGGGAGCCGCCGAGGCTGCTGGGAGCGGTGGTCCAGCCGTGGAAGGCTAGCTATGCTCCCGCGCGGGCCCGCGGCCGCGGCTTTGAGGCCGCGGGAGGGACAAGTGCGCATGCGTCGCCACTTCCGCCCGTGCTGTGGCCCGCCCTCTCCTTCAGCCTCCCAGAGGAGCTGGGTTTCTAATAGTAAGAGCCTGAGAGGAGGTACCCAGGGTCGCCCCGCCTCCTCTTCGTCTGGATTGGGCTGCCAAGGTAAGGGCGGCAAATCCATTGGCTGCTGGGGTTGCCAGTTCTGTTCTAGGCCGTACTTATATCGCGCTGCCGAGCGGCTACTGGAGAGAGGCTGAGGTTGAGGGTGGAAAGGGTGATGGCTGGTGCGTATTGAGGTTTCGAAGGCGGCGGTCCCGCAGCCCACCGGGTGCCGGGCGGCTTTTCACCGAAGCAGGCCGCCACCCCTCGTTTCCCGGGGGCCGTGCAGCGTCACCCAACAGGCTCTGCCACCAAGTGCCAAACTCCTAGTAAAGTTTGCGCCTCGCCGGCTGCCCCCGCCCCGGTGGCCTTGCCGCTGTCCCCACAGCGACCCTCACCCTGGCAAAAGTGAAGGGCGAGGCCACGCCCCCGCGCGGGCCGGCCGGCCTCCGGGCCCCGCCGCCCCCCGGGCTCCGGGACAGTGAGGGGCGTGAATGCGGCGGGGGGCGGGGCCGTCGCCGGGGGGAGCGGGCGGGGGGGACAGGGCGCATGCGCGCTGCGCCGCGGGGCTGAATGTTTCCCAAGTGTTTGAAACTGGTATTTGGGTTTTCCACGTTGGACAAGTGCGGCGCGGCGGGCGGCGGAGCGCGCCCCTTCCCGCTGCCTGCTCCACTGTGCTCTCCTCCCCGGCCCGGCGGGCGGGCTGGTGGGCGGTGGCGGCCGCGGCGCTCGGCCCTCTCCCTCCGGTGTGTGCGCGCTCGTACGCGCGGCCCCCAGCGCCCGCCCCGCCGCCTGGGAGGGGGCCTGCGCGGCCGGCCGGGGCGTGCGCCCGGGGAGCCTCCGCCACCGCGGCCCGCGCCCCCAGGCGCCGGGGTCCCCGCGGCCCCGGAGGCGGCGCGGCGGGCTCGGCAGATGTAGCCGCCGGACCGGAGCCGGATCCGGCGGGGGGGCGCCGGGAGAGCGAGGGCTTTGCATTTTGCAGTGCTATTTTTTGAGGGGGGCGGGGGGTGGAGGAAGCGGAAAGCCGCGCCGAGTCGCCGGGGACCTCCGGGGTGAACCATGTTGAGTCCTGCCAACGGGGAGCAGGTCCACCTGGTGAACTATGTGGAGGACTACCTGGACTCCATCGAGTCTCTGCCTTTCGACTTGCAGAGAAACGTCTCGCTGATGCGGGAGATCGACGCGAAATACCAAGGTACGGCCGGGTGATGGATGGGCGGGGGCGGCCGCTTCCATCCCCGTGGGTCCGGGCGCGCCGCGGGCCGGGCCGGTCCTGCCCGGGACCGGAGGACGCGGCCGGCTCCGCAGCGGCGGCCCTCGACAGGGGCAGGAACAAAAGGTCTGGGCGCCTTTGATTCGCCAAGGTCCTTGTGTGCAAAGCCCGGGACACGGAGGAGGAAGGAGGCACGAGAGGTCTCGCTGCAAGGCTGCGCGACCAAAGCGCTCTTTGTAGTGAAGTGATGAGGCGGGTGCTGCGGGGGAGGGGGCGGCGGGTCTGAGCTGTGTCCTCTAGGAAGGGGCGCAGATTACGGCGCGAGATGGAGGGATGTGCCGGCGCTTGGGGCTGCAGGGCGCGGAGACCGGGCTGCTGGAGGGGGGCGGCTGCGGGCCGGGGGTTCCCGCGGACCTGCTGCGTCGGTCCGGAGCGCCACTGCTTCCCCGGCCCCTCGTCGCCACCCCCCACCCAGTCCTGAATTCGAGTGTTACATAAAGTATGGGGTACTCGGCTTGGGGTAGGTCGGCCGCCCCCGCCCCCGCCCAGCCCCCTCCGGCCCTCCCTTGGCGCTGGACGCGGACTGGGGGCCGACCGAGAGGGGCGACGCCGCCGGGTGTAGTTTGCGGAGGACGTGGGCTTTTCTCTGTGCAGTGGGGAAGGGAAGGGGAGGAGCGGAGGCGGGGAAGGCGCCCATCTGCGCGGCACTCGGGGGGCGCGGGCAGAATGCTGGCAAGGAGAGAACGTGGCAGGTGAGAGAACCTGTGGGTCCTTCTCTGCAGCCGCGGCCGCCCAGAGTGTCAGAGAGAGGTGGAGGGGTCGTGTCCGCCGGGAATTGTTGGCTGTTGGGGAAACTTTCCTGCGAGGTCAGGCAAAGCTTTGGGAGCTGTGTTTTGAATGTGGATCGTCACTCGTAGTTTACAAATGTTTACAGGGCTGCGCAGCAGGGAAACGGGAAGAGTCGGGGGAGGGTGAAAAATCGTCCGCACTCCCCACAACACACCAGACCCTCCAGCTGGGAAAGCGCCCCTGCGCGCTTTACCCGAGACGCAGCTTCGCAGTGATTTTTTATAGGAGTCTCATTAGCATATTGCGGAACGTCCCGCCCTGGTCTCTCTGTGATTGGTCTTGACGTTCCCCGTGGAATGTCCTTATCAGCCTGCTGTGGAGCGATTCGCCGCTGGGCCGGATGAGGGTGTGCCTTGTACAGTGACTGGCATGGGTCTGTGTTTCCGCTGCCTTCTTTTTTTCTCTTTTGGAGATGGGCGGGGTGGAGGGAGGAGGTCGAGTTGATTTGAATGTCTTCGGGTCGCCCGGCCTCAGGTTTTGGATTGGCCCTTGGTGCTGCTGGGGCGGGCCGTGTTCTCGGGCCCTGCGCTGTGATTGGCGCTCCGCCTGGCCTCCGCCTTCCCGTCCGGCGATCCTGATAGGCAGCAGCTTTCGGGGCGGGGCGTGCCGCCCTCTCGCCCCCTCCTTATTGGCGGGAGGCCCGGCCAGTGCCCCACGAAGCTCGGTCACTTCCGGCCGCGGAGCAATGGTGGCTGCCGTGGGCTGGTGCTGTGGCTCGGGCCACCCGCCCGCACTGGCAACCCGCAGGACAAGCCCGCAGAGGACCCTGGGTCACCTCTCTACTGATCCGTGGGTGCCAGCGTGCGTGGCCGGGAGAGCGTGAGTGACCGTGGGCGTGTCCCCGCTCGGGGTCCCGGCTGGGGGCTTTTCTGGAAGGGGGTCCCGGGACTAAACGGGGCGGCCCCGGCGGTTGGGCTCGGAGCTGTGAGCGGAAAGGGAGCGGGGACCCGGAAGATTCCAAGCGTTTGGTGATTATTTAAGAAAAAGTGTGCAGAGTGGGATTCGTCTTCCCTTTTACGTTAAGAGGACGAAAAAGTTGGCCTGTATAATATTCTGACATCCGTGGCAGTATACCCCCAAAACCTCTTTATTCCTCTTGTTGTCATTGTGGAGAACCTAGCTTGCTGCTCCAGATCAGAAAGTCTTTCTTCAGGTTAGCTTGGGATGATGTGCTTTTTTGGCTTCAGATAAGATTGTGGTCCTGCCCCCGGTGTGCGTTTCAGCAGTGCAGCTGGGAGAGTGTGGAGCTCACACATCCGTCGTGGTGGCGATCGCCACTCATCCGGTTGAACTTCGCTGTAAATGTTGAGATGTGCCACACAGTTAAAAAAGATTAAGCTTTTATATGTACGGAACTACTCTGTAGCAAGTCAAACTTGGTTAACAATCTTTTGCTTAGTACGTATCAATTGTAGATTAATCCATAAGGATGGATTGTAATTAATTTGCCAGTTTTAAACGGTATTTGAGGTTGTTTGAATCATTTTTCATGTATCTTATAAAAATACCCACCCAACCCCAGGGAAGTATGCTTCATAAAGAACTTCATTGCAACCTTTATGTAAAATTAAAGTATAGTTTTGATAATTGAACAAACCAAATTAAATTTTGCTACAGTCTCATTTGATCTTCCCTTCTTTCCATACGTTGTTGCTTTCCCTTGGTAAGGTTGGTGTGGGACAGATTTAGAAGAGTCAGCAACAGTTTATCTGAAGCTGAGCTGATGGAACTGAAGCAGCAGAGTGTGGCAGGATGCCTTCCTATTTAGTAGTGGTGGTGGTGGTCCTGCTTGTAAATATCTGTACCTACTGGCCTTTGTTGATAGAGCACTTTGCTTGGGGCATCTAAGAAAAATGCCATTGTATAGGTAACAGAATTACCTATTGGTAATTTTCTGATTGGGGTATTTGTTTATCTTCCCACAAGTAACGCTTCACCTGTGTGTAAGCTTGCATGTGATATAAGAGAAGCTGTAGGTTTACTAAATTTTAAATTAACAATTTGGTAGAATTGTTCTTTTCTATGAAATGCCAGCATTGTCTTTAGAAATTTGATTACGGGTTAAACCAAATCATACCATTTTGTAACTTGTGTTCCATTTAAAAATAAGTGGCACAAACTCATATTTTAACATTTATGATAAAGAAATTGGATAAATTGATAGTAGTTGGATAAGTTGAGCACAGCTATTTATTTTCAGAATTAATTACTCCAAGAGACTGAGACTGTGGCATTCCTCTTTTCTGGTGGCAGTTTCCCTTGTTCTCTAGGAAGTATCCTCAGAGATGTCATTGGTTTGAGAGTGACAACTGTGAAAGGAGTGACTGAGGCATGGATCTCTATTACTGGAAGTTTATTAAGCCGGCTTTAGGCAAAGGGGAGGGTGGACGATGGAGATGCAAGCCACAGATGTATCTGTGAATTTTTCCCAAAGAGGTTTTTTGAATGTTTAGTATCTAGACATTTGGGGGGTGGGGTCCTGTGGCCTGGGAGTTGAGTAACACAGATGGTTACATTCTTGAGAGACTTTAGTTAGTGCCCAGGAAATCTACATTTTACATAAGCTAAGATGAATGTTTGAAGAGAAAAGGGGAGTAGAGGAAGAATCAATTATGTAGACACATTTGGGTAGGTGGAGGAATGATTGATGTCATCCAGTCTCTGTTTTGTACCTGGGAAGATAAGCTTGTAATAATCAGCATTATCAGTGTGGAATCAAACAGACTTTATTGTTAGGAGCTAGGCTCAGACTGCAGACCTAAGTCACAATTAACTTGTCCTTCTTTATGGGAGGCCAGCAAAGAGTTTCCTTATGCATGATCTGTGGGAGCAGTCCTTCCCAGATGCCTGAGGCCTTTTACCTTTCAGTGAGTATCTGGCTAATGCATAATGTTTATAACAGCTATTCATTTGGAAGGTGTTTGCCTGACTCAGCCACCAGGCTTCACCTTCCCTTTGTTTAAGGAGTTTGGGGGATTCTGAGATTTTTATTTTCCTTTATAAGACTATAGCCTGAAAGAGAATACTTAGTAGTATATTTAGGCAAGCTTCAGTGTTGGTCTAAGTTCATAGGATTTACTCTAGTGTTGGTGTACATGTTACACTACTTGGGGATAAGATGTAGAAATGGTGATGGCAATGTTTTTAGACATTCCCTCCCACTCTCACCCCTCCGGGCACACTTCTTATTCAGAAAGCAATGTAGTTGCCTTGTTTTAAGAGATGCAAAAGGGTTTTAGGAGAAAAATTGATTTAATGGTTACCATTTGAGAAAAATAACTGGAAATTTCTGTGTATTTAAATAGACTTTTGGCAAAAACATTTACTTCTCTTATTTCAGAGAAGTAACTCTTACAGGTTATTTAAAAGCTTTTATTCTTGAGAAATTGCCTAATTACATTTGGCAAATTACATTTTAAAATAACATACACTCTTCTTCTAACCTGACCAAGAATGTTTGAATTTAATACTGAAGGTTTTTAATTTGTTTTTGATAATGTTTTAAAATTTATTGACTTTTATAGATAAGAAGATACTATTTTAAGCAGTAGATGGAAAAGTAAAATGTTTCACCTTTGTTTTAAAGCAGGGCAAGGTTGTTTTTTTTATTGTCATCAAACCATTCTTGTCTTTACTAATTAGAGGGATAACATGCTAAAATAAACATACAGTAACTGATAAACTAAGAACCTCGGTCACAAAGTCATCTGGGCATGGCCTATTAATTCCATTCTTTAACCACAGACAGCTATTATATAAATTTATATTCATTCTCTAATAGGGTATTCTAGATGTTGTTACATTAAAATATAAAGAATAAAGACATTTGTTAATTTGAATAAAATATTCAAAAAAGTAGTGATGGGAGAGTACATGATGGTTACCAGAGACTGAGAAGGGTAGTGGGGAAGGGGGGTAAATATAGTTAGATAGAAAGAACAATATTTGACAGCACAACAAAATGACTATAATCAACAATAAGTTAGGGTATACTTTAACTAAAAGAGAAGAATTGAAATGTTCCTAATACAGAGAAATGATAAATGCCTGAGGTAACAGATACCCCAGTTTCCCTGATTTGATTAATGCACATTGTATGCTTGTATCAAAACATCATATATACCTATAAAGATAAACAACTATTATGTACCCATAATAATTAAAAATAAAATAAATAAGATATAGTACAAAAAATATAAATAATTTATAATAGTTAAAATTTTATATGCTCATATAATGTAAGGAATTTCATATTACTACATAATTATAAATGATTTTATTCGAATAAAAATGTTTGAACAAAAATGGCAATATAAGACATAATCATTAATGTAATAGAAAATAATAAAAGTTTGGGTCCAAGCACTTTAGCTAATTTGAACTTTTCCCCTTAATTACTTCAGGAGTATTTGTCACCCATGCTTCTGAACTTCATACAGAGTCCCTTGGGGTGCTTAGAGTGGCACTTTGCTAAATGGATCTGTGTTGGCATTTGTATTTAGTTTCAGAGATTTTTTCAATAGGAAAAAAAAGTCCTCCAGAAAGCCTGATGGGTTATAAGATTTTTATATTGGGAAGCCTTGCATTGGTCATTTTGATCCTTTGCAATTAAACTATTTTATAGACTAGGCAATTAAGGTCTTATTTAATTGATGTGAATGTCTTCACTAGTGCTCACAGCATGGATGTGTAATGCATGTCTTTTCATTTGTAGAAATCCTGAAGGAGCTGGATGACTATTACGAGAAGTTTAAAAGGGAGACGGACGGCACGCAGAAGAGGCGGATGTTACACTGCATTCAGAGAGCCCTGATCCGGAGCCAGGAGCTGGGAGATGAGAAGATCCAGATCGTGAGCCAGATGGTGGAACTGGTTGAGAACCGGGCCAGACAGGTGGACAGTCACGTGGAACTCTTCGAGGCGCATCAGGAGGTGGGCGATGCTACAGGCAATAGCGGCAAAGCCGGCCAAGACAAGTCGAAGAATGAGACAATCACGCAGGCAGAAAAGCCAAATAACAAGAGATCCCGGCGACAGCGCAACAACGAGAATCGAGAGAATGCATCTAATAATCATGACCACGACGACATCACCTCAGGAACGCCCAAGGAGAAGAAAGCAAAAACCTCAAAGAAAAAGAAACGCTCCAAGGCCAAAGCAGAGAGGGAAGCATCCCCTGCAGATCTGCCCATCGACCCCAACGAGCCGACGTACTGTCTGTGCAATCAGGTCTCCTATGGAGAGATGATCGGCTGTGACAACGACGAGTGCCCCATTGAGTGGTTCCACTTCTCATGCGTGGGCCTCAACCATAAACCAAAGGGCAAGTGGTACTGTCCCAAATGTCGAGGGGAAAGCGAGAAAACAATGGACAAAGCACTGGAGAAATCCAAAAAAGAGAGGGCTTATAACAGGTAGTTTGTGGACATTCATTGAGGAGTGAAGAGAACAAAACAAACCAGTGTATTTATTATGTTGCCACCTTTGTTGAGGTGTAAGGATTGTAAAATGTATATTTTTAAAGAATGTTAGAAAAGAGGCCATTCCTTTTATAGGGGTGGCAATGATTCCTTGGCCTTCTGTTTTTATTGGTACACATGTGTAACAAAGTGGTCCGTGGATCAGCATTTTAGAAACCACAAATATAGGTTTGAATTAAACATTTAAGTATGTCTCAGACTGATTTTTTTTTTGTGGGGGGGGATGACTAAAAGCATCCTAACATTAAATGTGGAAATAAAAGATTTAGCTATTTTCTTCTAATGAAAGTACTATTATTACTTTATGAAAAAAAAATTTTTAAATTAGCCAAGTTGCCAAAAATATAGCCTATGGTAAATTTGTTTCTTGCTACTATAATGTATATCCATAAAACAATTCAATAACAAAGGTTTAAAGTTCAAAGATTATTTTTTAAAAACGTAAATGGTTAAATTTTACGTGACAAATATTTTATATACTGGCCCATTCCCCAGATGGCCATTTTTAAATGATTGGGTACATTTTTACTAAACAGAAGTGGTCTAGTCATGGAACTCCCAATCATGCTTTTGCAATCACAAATCATAGTGTAGTCATCTTTAATTTATATAAGGTGTATAAATGTACATTTCCAAGTGAACTTGCACTTGCTGTATTATAATTGGAAGTACAGCCAGATGCTATTGTGAAACTAAAGTGTGCTTCCTGCTGTATGTTTGAGAGCTGTACAGATTTTATGTCAAGAAATAAATGAAACTTGGCCAGTTTGTTTCTCTAGCAGTATATTTAATGTTGACATAAGTAACTTAAAAAGTTTTGTCTTGAAAATTTAAATAACAGCAGTTTAGACAAAGCCTTAAACAAATTTTGTATTATTGTTCTCACTTAATAATGAATAGAAGTTACCTAATGCCAGCAAATAAATAAATGTGAAGAGAATATGTATTTAAATCAGGGATCAGGAAATTACTGCCTACCCATCAATCCAGCCCATGACGAAAATTGTATGGCCTGTGAACTAGGAATGGCCTTTACATTTTTAAATGGCTAAAAAGAAAAAAAATCATTTCAGGAGACATGAAAAAATATAAAATTTAAATGCTTGTGTCCATAAGTAAAGCTTCATTAGAACATACCCATGCTTGTTTGGGTATGTATTGTGTGTGGCTGCTTTTGCAAAACTGCAGAGTTGAGTAGTTGCAAAAGAGACCATTTGGCCTGAAAGGCAAAAACTACTTTCTGGCCCTGTGTAGAAATAGTTTGCTGACCTCTGATTTAGGCAAGCATCTAGCATTGATGATTTGTGTCATTAACTGCCCACCTATTGAAAGGGTCAGTGGAATTTCCATTTCTGATAGATGGTTTACTTTGACTTCTAACTCGGTGAGATCGGTTTTTCTCCATGGTCTGTTTCAGTCCCTGTGAAGCTACTACGAGGAAGAATTGAGTAATGTCACTGTAGGATCTAAGTATCTTTGTGGCATGTATTTATTATAAGTGAAACAGTAAGTTGTTTTCTGATTGTTTACTTTTGGTTTTGGCTTGTTTTTTTTTGAGACAGTCTCACTCTGTCACTGAGGCTAGAGTACAGCAGCAGCATCATAGCTCACTGCAACCTCAAACTCCTGGGCTCAAGCGATCATCCTGCCTCAGCCTCTCAGGTAGATAGGACTCCAAGTGTGTGCCACCATGCCAGCTACGTTTTTCTATTTTTAGTAGGGGCAGGGTTTCACTCTTGTTCAGGCTGGTCCCAAACTCCTGACCTCAAGAATCTTGAGTGCTTAAATTTGATGAGATTTACCCTGACAAATAATGAACAAGAAGTTTACTATATGAAAATAAGTTATAGGCCGGGTGCGGTGCTCACACCTGTAATCCTAGCACTCTGGGAGGCCAAGGCAGGCGGATTGCTCGAGGTCAGGAGTTCGAAACCAGCCTGAGCAAGAGCGAGACCCTGTCTCTACTATAAATAGAAAGAAATTAATTGGCCAACTAATATATATATAAAATTAGCCGGGCATGGTGACACATGCCTGTAGTCCCAGCTACTCGGGAGGCTGAGGCAGAAGGATTGCTTGAGCCCAAGAGTTTGAGGTTGCTGTGAGCTAGGCTGACGCCACGGCACTCACCATGGCCTGGGCAAAGCGAGACTGTCTCAAAAAAAAAAGAAGTTATAGAATTAAAATTAAAATACTTGGTACAAATTCAATAGCAATAAAAATAGTTTAAAAATCTTGGCTTATACGAAATTCTATGCTAATTTTTCACTTCTATTTTAATTAGAGCTAATAATGAAAACGAAGTTACAGGAGAGAAGATTCAGTGGAACACAGTTGGCGATAGTGGATTTCTTCATAGTTATTCAGTTTTGGTGTAGACAACTATGTAGTGAAGAGGGACATCATAGGCCAAACTTGCTGTGTAGGAACCCCATTTTGTCCTTTGGGCAGTTAGTTTGAATAAGTTGCTTAACTCTTGGTCTGCAGTTCTTCACTTATTAAATATCTGTTTCATATAGGATGGTTCTGAGACATGAGGTTTAGTGTATAAGAGCCTAGCATGTAGTTATTCAAGTGTTGGATATTTTTCCCCAGCTTTAATGAAGTTTCTAATAAATGGCTAGCCATTTTTTTCTTTTGAAAAATGTTTACAATACAGAGTCGAATTTCGTTGGATTTGGCAGTTTTAAGTCACTTTTTTAAATGTCGTGGACAGTAAAAAAATAAATACTTAGAATGCTTAAGATTTATGATTTACATCATGATTAGATACAATAGAAAGATCCTGGTAACCCTGGAACTGAATTGTTTTTGAAAAATAGATTAGTGAAAAGATATCTAATGTAGAATAGTTGCTTATTTTAGAAGTTCAGTAATACTTGTATAATAATCAAGTTATTACAGTTCAGATAAAAGGTCTAAAGTGTTTCCATTATCATTTAATACTTTGTATTTCAAACTGAACTAAGGGAACTTCATACCTTCAATCAGGTGTTTATTGAGCAGCTGTGGTGTTCCTGGGGCCGATGGTAGGGGTGGTGAGGGGTCCTGCCGGAGTCACAGACCCACAGGGACTTACCTTCCAGTGACTTGGATGTTGGCCAGTGGTTCTTTGGTGTGATTAGAGCTATGCAAGTCGTCTCTACCTGAGACTATCAGTGGTTGTCAATGTTAAAGTAATAAAGCATTAAAGAAAAGCCACTGCATAGTACTATATACTATTTTTGAAAGAGTAGATGTTTATTTGAAATATCACATTATGTAGTATTCCAGGTAAAATGTACTAAAAGCTTTTTATTAGGCAAAATGATTAAAAGTTTAGTTTGTGCACTTTTAAAGACACAATGTGCTCTTGTAGGAGGTCTAGCTTTCCTCGTTCCATCTAAGGTGATTTATGACTGGAATCACTGGCGTATGTGGAGCAGGACTTCACTGCAGTCATCGGCCTCCCTGTTTTACCTTGTCCATTCTTCTTTAATCCCCAAGTCCAGGTGGTTTTAGGCAGTCTGGGAGGTAGACTTCTGGATTTTTTTAGTCTGGAAACAATTGGTGGTTCATGACTGCTGTTCTTTAGGCACCATGTTGTCTTGTCACCCTTTCTCATCCTGAGCATATGTGGAGGGCTCAGGAAGGCAGAAACGGTGGGACAGGAAATACGGGTCGTGCTGCCAAGTCAAAGCAGCCTCCTAAAGTTTTCATGGGGGCTTTGTTTCAGAATATATAACTATTCAGTTTTTCCCCCAAACCCAACACACAAGTGTGGCGTACCCCCTCACCCCAGAAAGGATGGCAGGAAATACATAAGTGGAATAAAGAAAAGTATTAAGTCAGTTCTCTTTTCTTACCTCAAATACTTCGTATTACCTGATTTTGTTCATAAAGATGTGGTTGGTGTTTTCCCATTTTAAAAGGAAGTTACTACAAACGGAGTGACAGGTTAACTCTTGATTTGTACCATTCCGTGCTTCAGTAAAGTAGAACGTTTTTACTGAAGGAGAAAATGGCTTGTTTAAGCAAGCCAACTTTAAATAAAGGTGTCCAGCGTCACTAGCGTGTGCAAATCCAGCCACCATTTATCATCTGCTATGTGTAGACACTGTGCGAGGTACTTTGTATACTTGATGTTAAATCTTCATAGCAGTTCTGCCACAAAGAGGTTGTCATTCCCGGTGAAAGTGCTGAGACTTTAATGAAGTTTCTAATAACAAGTGGCTAGCCATTTTGTCCCTCCCTCCAGTGAGGGACGTGGCAGGCATGAGGCCACACACCCTGCACCTGGCACCAAGGCCCCTATCTGCCACCTCTACCACCGCCCTGCGCTAGGAGACCTGCCTAATGGTCAGGGCCCATTGATGGGTCATGTGACAAGTCAGGAGCAGTGCTAGCCTTCCCGCAGCTCTATGGAGTAGAGAACTACCCTCATTACATGATGAGAAAACTGTAGAAAATGGAAGAAACGCACATGGTCTCCCAGGAATAGAGCTGCAATAGGTGCCCAGGACGGTTGGAGCCTGAGATCTTAATGCTGGGCTCTTCTGCCTGAAAGGGATCTGCAGGAACCACAAATACCTGTCTGTGCTACCAAGTGCTACTTATATATCTGATTTTCCTCCAGGAAAACCAGTTGCTGCTAAAGTTTCTCCTTTTGCCCTATAGTAAATTTCAGGACTGTAGTTTACCCATGAAGTTTTAAGCAATGTACCAGGAGCAGCATGCCATGCTACAAAGCAGCATGAGGCTTGAAGTCAGAAGGTGTGAATAGGGACTAGTTTATCACATACACTGTAACCTCAAGGAAGTCACTCTTCTCAACCCAAAGTAAGGACGTGATAACACCTATCCCGTGTTCAGAGGATCACCCAGGACAATGTCTGAAGGTGCTTCATAAATGCTAAAGTACCATACAAATAATGGTTTGAGTGATATTTTTGGCCAATTATTGATTAATTTAACAGATGTATTCTTAAAAAATGGACTAGAGATTCTGTACAGCTGAAGAAGATCGAGTCCAGCCTTGGCATAAACTAGTCACTTCCCGTTTCATGCTGCAATGAGGGACACATCTACAGCTGCTTTTCCATAAACGAGACCATTTCTCTATAGAAAACAAAAGAGAGAAATCAAATTTTTATTTTTAGCAGCAATCAAAGCCTATTAAACTTCTTGTTGACTCACCCCTTGGTTGAATTTGAGAGCAGGCTCAAAATCTAGTTCAGTCTCTTCAATGTGGAGGTGAGGAAACTGAGGCCAGAAGTGGTGCAGCCACTCACTGGAAGACACTGTGCATGCTGGTGGAAGGGCCCAGTCCGTGCCTCACTGTGCCAGGCTGCTCCAGTGGGCCTGGCCTCGTCCACGCAGGCCTTGGGCACTGGGCTTTTTTCATGGTGAGCTGTAATCAATACCTGTTGAGTGAATAATGAATCCAAGAATTAGAATTTAAAAATAAGACGTTTTCTAACTTCCAAACCAGTTATAAAAACACACCTAAAAGGGAATTTCAAATTGATTTGTGTGAAGGGAACATTTTTGGATAAATGTATAGGCGATCAGAAATGCAATGTTGCTAAATGGTTAATATTTGAGAAAATGTGGCTAGATTTTGACCACCCGATTTAATATTTCCTATTATAAAATTTTATAAAAACAAATGTAAATAATTGTTCATAGGGTCTGTTAACTTATCCATCTATAAATATTCTCAGAAATCGTTTGCTGTCTTCCAAATTGTTTATTTTACATGAGAAATTGCTTGATAAATATTTTGTTTTCGGTATTATTATATTTAAGCATCTTTTGGTTGAAAGTAACAGTAATCGACTGATTCTGCCTTAAGCGAAAATAGGAAAGATAAGAGAAGTCTCAGAAAATTCAGGAATGGGAGCAGCAATGAGCACAGCCCAGCAAGGATTTCTCTGCAGCACAAGTGTGTTGAGACATGGTTTCTTTGGCCCAGGTGGAGACAGATTCACATGCCAGGCCATGGCCCCGGGGCAGACGGCAGGATGGACACTGAACTTCTGGCCTTTGCCTTGGACAGTCAGGTGCTACGTTGGAGTAAGCCTTTCCGTCTCTAAAATTCTCCTTGCACTGGCAGGTGCCAAGTGTAGCATGGATGTTCTACTGCCACCATGCAACGAGATTGGATCTGGCTTCATTCTTTCCCCATTAATTGGAAAGTGCTCACGGAATAAAAATTAATTTTTGTATTTTAAGGTAAGTAATAATTAGGTGGAGGATGGGAAATTATTATTCTATCGTCAATAAACATTATTTTTAAAATACTTCTGATTCTTGGCATCATTGATCTGCTCCATAAACATGAAAAATTAGAACTTGACTAACTGTGGAATACTCTCCTGACACAAAGATCTTCAATAAAATGTCAGGTAGTTAAAAGTGAAAATATACAAGGATGAATGTCCCTGGCATTTTTCACAGCTTGTCTTTCAATGTGAAGCCTGATAAGGAGTATTTCACTTTGCAAATTTTGAAACCACCCCCACGCAACCAAGAAGCTTAATTCTTTAGTAATCGACAAGGGGAACGTTCGAAATGAAAAGGTGAGCAGTTGAGAACGCAACCCACAGACGTGAAAACTGGGCTGAGCTGCAGAGGGAAGGAGAACAGAATGTGTGAGGATAAATATGAGACGGTTTGGGGGTTCACTGTGTATTATTGTGTATTTCAGAAATGACCTAGAAAGTTCAAGGTAAAGTGAGCACATCATTATCTTTTATTAAGCTCTGACTGAACACTGGTATGATGCAAATCTTAGATAAGGTTACAATTCCTGCCACTGAAGTTGCAATTTTTGAAACATATTAGACAACTGAATAGACCACGGAATAGCGAATTTAATCATACCAGCAAAACTGGAAGTGGCAGGATTATTGTAATTACTGCAGTAAATACCTTCAGCAAGCAAAATACATGGACTGACTTACTAATTTTATTTCCTCTTACATTCCTATAAGGTTACTTTGTATTAACAGTATGACTCTTGTGACAATTTTATTTATGTTTTTTAATATCTGGCATAGGAACGAAGCTAATGGATGACATTTCTGGCTTTACCATGAAGTTGTCACACTGGAGCATTCATGGGATAAATAATTGTTCCATTATCAAGGACATTATGTTCCCCTCTTCAGTGTTGGGCAACTTGAAATCTTTTTATAGTTGAAGGTCAGGCCAACATTCCTTAAGAGCAAAGAAAGTGGAGCATCAACCCTGGAAACGAAGATCTGGACGATAGCATCCGATGGATACCACTTGGCATGCTCAGTCTTGGAAAAGCCGTGAAGCACTCCTGATGAATGTGGTGTACTGAGTTAGTCCCCAAACATGTAGACATGCTGAATAAAATATGAGGGAAGGAAAAAGTTTTAAATATGTACCCAAGAGCAAACACAAGGAAGTGACTTCCCCATGTGGCAAAGCAAAAGAAATCAGAGCAAAAATAGTAAGCAGTGGCTGAAGAGGCAGGCCTGTGACCGAGGCCTGGTCCATCAAACGCCCCACCCTGCTGGCCACAGTGACAAGTGTAAGCATGGGCAGGTGCCCACATCAATCACTACCTGACTGTCCTGGGACTTCTCTGGAGCTACCAGCAAAATTCCTTGTCTTCTCATCAGAGGGAGTAAGCCCTAAGCACTGAGATCTGGGGCTTCCAGCGGTCATCTTACCCACCGTGCAGAGACAGTCTGCCCGGAAGACGGAATGGAATGAAAAGATGAAATAGAGAAATGGAATGTACTTGTGGCTTGCGCGGAACCCCTGAAGCCCGGTGAACTCCAGTTACGTAGGTCAATAAAAGCTTTTGTTCTTAAGCTTCAAGGTGGGTTTGTACACTAGCTGATTCAACAACCCCTCCACTTCCAGTCGTACCCACTTCCCAAGACAACAGCTATCAATGGCTGGGGAGCGTCTATCTTTACAAATCTTTTTCTATGACATTACACACACCTCTGTGGTGCTTTTAATATGTACACAAATCTCACACTCCTCTGGTCAAAGGGTGGAGCCCGTTCTCCTACGAACTTCTTAAGAAAATAAAGAGCGGAGCTAGTTTCTGTCCCCTCGACCGTGGGTGAGCAGTTGTGCTGCCTCCCCGGGAGAATGCAGGGGACACAAACCCGTAGACTCTGAGGCAGGGTCAGACTGGGCAGCGCCACTGATCCCTTCCTGTATACCAATGGTCACCCTGGGGTCACTGCCACCTGGGGCGACCGCACACTGCTGTTCCAGCCACCGCTTCTGCTGAGGTCCCAACCAGCAGAAGCATGCCAGCCTGCCGGTGACACCAGCCCCAGTCCCCGCTGACGCCCAGTGGAGCAGAAATACTCTATGCCTTCCCAGCCCTGCCCAAACTGCAAGTCCATAAGCAAGTTAAATGTCACTGTGCTATTATGACATTCTGGGTGGACTGTGACGTTGCGGTAGAGCACCAGAGCAGGGTAGACTTGCTGTGCTGTGCCTTCTTCATCAATGGGACCATGCCTTGTGTATTGATCTTCAGCAAGCTGGGTTTTTTCCTATGTAACACTTTGCCCTGAGATCCTTCATACATAAAGATTAATTAGCCTGCTATTAATTACTGTAAACAATTATGTCCTACGGATATGCCACATTTATGCAAATGCTCCTCTACTGATGACCAATAAGACTGTTTCACATTTTCCTTATGGCAAACTATTCTGAGATGAATATCTTTGTATGGTCTCATTCTGCACATGAATGAGTATTTCTCTATGTTTGATACATAGAAATGAAATTGTAGCAAAAAATGGTTTTCACACTATCTTTCTGCCAAATTGCCAGAAAAAACCCTGTGCATTCTTATACTTTTGCCACAGTATGTGAGAATACTTACTTCCCCTTACCTTATTATCATTGGATATTAACCAAATAAAATTTCTCCTGTCTCGGGGGGAAAAATTATTATACATGGTTATAGAATACATTATATTTAATACTTAAACTATTATACATACATATTATATAATACAAGATATATTTATATAATATACACATATTCATATATAAATATATGTCTTAAGTATATATAATTTTTAAAATTTCATCATATTATGGGGGTACAAATATTGTTAAGGTTACATATATTGCCCTTGCCACCCCTTCCCCCAAGTATATATAATTTGCACTTCCCTTGTTTCTATTGATTTTGTGCAACTTCTTCAGTGTGTATTGGCCATTCATGTTGGTTTTTTTTGAGTCAGAGTCTCACTTTGTTGCCCAGGCTAGAGTGAGGGCTGTGGCATCAGCCTAGCTCACAGCAACCTCAATCTCCTGGGCTCAAGCGATCCTACTGCCTCAGCCTCCCGAGTAGCTGGGACTACAGGCATGCGCCACCATGCCCGGCTAATTTTTCGTAAATATATTTTTAGTTGGCCAATTAATTTCTTTTTATTTTTAGTAGAGACAAGGTCTCGCTCAGGCTGGTTTCAAACTCCTGACCTCGAGCAATCCACCTGCCTTGGCCTCCCAGAGTGCTAGGGATTACAGGCATGAGCCACGACGCCCGGCCAGCCATTCATTTTTATTATAAAATTATTCATTTTCCTATTGCTTTGTTACATGCAAATATTTTCTCCAGGTCTATTATTGTTATTTTATATTTGCTTATGGCATCTTTGTCATAAAGAACATTTAGATTTTGAGATTGTCATCTGTAAACTTCTTTATAGAATTTTGTATTATATTTTGCTTAAGAAAGTCTTCTCTACCCTAAGATTATAAAATATTCTCCTACATTCTTTACATTTTTGTTTTGCTTTACATTTTTCAAATATCTCCTTACTTCATCTGGAATTTATTTTGGTTTTTAGTGTGGGGAGTTATTGAAATTCTTGGAATATGATGGGAGAACGTGAGGGATGCCATGTGGTATAGGGAAAATGAGGCCGGAAGCCAAGAACCTGGGTTCAGAGTCTGGGACTTACGAGCTGTGTGATCTGAGTGGAGTTTCTTCTCTCTGAGGCTCAGTTTCTTCATTACCAAATGAGTAAAGATGCCTATGCCCCAGAGTGTTCATTACTGTGAAGTTCCAATGGGATCATATTAATATATGTTAAAGATGCCAGTAACTTAAAATAATGCTGTCTGCTAACCGCCACCACATATTCCCCGAGCAGATCAATACTGTATGAGCTTCTCACTCCGAAACGTGAGCTCGGCCACACGCTCTAGTTTCATAGACACATGGTGTCTCAGCTACTTTCCACTGATTCATTTGGGTATTTCTATGAAAAATCTTCACTGTTTTCATTACACTAGCATTACACAGAGTTGGTCTGTGAATAGACTATCTTTTTAGTATTTTTTTATATTTAATAAGGCAAACGCTCTATTGGTTTCCATTCACTATTATAGACTAACTTGGAGAACGCCTGTGTATTTGCGACATGAATCTTCTCATGCAGGTAGATGGTCTGTTTCCATTTACATGTGATATTTATTGTATCCTTCAGTTGTGTTTTACAATTTTACTCATATTTCTCTCTGGTATGTTGTGTTGCAGTTGCTACCAAACCTGGATCAAGTTTTCCATGACTTTGTTCCGTTGGCCATTATTTGCACGTAGTAAGTTGATTTTTGTGTGTCTAGCTCAGATCTGGCCACCAAGCTGAAATTTCTCATTCGTTCCGGAAGTTTGTCAGTTGACTCTCTTAGATTTTCTACATGGAGGGCTGTCACTAACGTGTCACCAGTGCCAGTCATTCCCATGACTGATGACAGGCATTCCTGCTTCTTTTTCTTTCCTTCCTTTATTCTCTCTTCTCGAATGAGCTAGGACTTCAGTGAAATATTAAATAGGATTGATTGGTGACAGGTATCAGAGTCTTGCTCTGATTCTAAGGGAATGCTTTAGGTATTTCACCATCATTCTGATATGCCAGCAATTCCTAGTAAATATTGTTTGTCAGGTAGAGGAAAGCTCCTCCTATGGTTTCTAGTATTTTCAGAGTATTTCCAGAAACCAGTGCTGAATTTTGTCAAATACTCTGTTTTAAGTGGAGATGAGGGTAGCAATGTGTGGATCTTCTCCTTTTTTAAAGTTTAAAATAAATTTTGAAAAATTTCAGCATTGTTGGGATAAGCTCTTCATAGTCATTTTGTGTTGTTCTTTTAGTGCACTACTGAATTAGATTTGATGTTGTACTTAGCATTTGTATGTGTCCGAGATGAGGCTTTTTAAAAAAAGCCGTTTTGGTGTCAGGATTATATTAACCTTACATAATGAGTTTAGAAGGTTTACCTCTTTTTTATGCTCTGGAAGCATGTATATAAAATAGGAATTATTTATCCCTTGAAGGTTTGTTAGGAATAACTGGGCAAACAGTAATTTTAGCAGTAAGCCCTTAGCTACCTTTTCAGGTCATATTTAGGATCTCTATCTCATCTTGACTCAATCTTATCATTTTCTATTTTTTATATTCTATATTGCATTTTCCATGAAAATAATCTATTTCATCTAGGTTTTAAAATGTATTGGCATACTATTGAAGGTATCATTCATTTAAAAAAACCCTTGATTACTGTAGTTGTATCACCTTTCTCATTTCTAATGTTATTTCTTAAACTGTTTTCTCAAATACTAGTCTATTTCATTGGTCTTTTTGAAAAGTCAGTATCTGGTTTATTGATCAAATTTGTTAATATTTTCATTTTATGGATTTCTTCTATTATAAATTTAATGTTCTTCTTTCTTCCAGTTTATTTATTTTTTATAGTTTCTTGAGTTAAAAAGCTTAATATATTTTCAATCATTCTGGTTTTGTAATAAATAAATTTAATGCTATAAAATTTCATCCAAATACTCCTTTGTTTGCATCCTACATATTTATAATATCATTCATTTCTACTAGCCCATATTTTTAATTTTACATTTTTAATTGAATAGTTAGTTTAAAACATGTTTTTAATTTCTCATAGGGATAAATACCCACCTTCAGCTATCCTTTTAATTTTGTCACTGATTTTTATGATGCTGTGGCCATTCTCTGGCCCACATGATTTCTGCTTTTGAGACATTGTTTAGTTACCCTGATGTTTTTGCACATGGGAAATCTACCATTATTTAGCCTTTGTGTACCCACACTTAAATATTTAATCTGTCAAATTCTGGGAAAATCATATTCTTGTCATTTACTGTTTGTGGATTTCTTAGTTTCTCCTTATATTTCTATGAGTTTTCACTTTGTGTGTGTGCTATATATACACATGTGTATATATTACTCTATGTGTATGTATATGCTGTCTCTCTATGTGTATATATATGCACCTAATAGATATATTATTAGGTGCTTAACAGTTTGTTATTGTTTTACCTCTTTGATAAGATTATAATTTCTTCTCAATAAGCAATATTCATCAAAAAATTACCTAGACTCATTCTAAATGGCTGTTCTGGGTCCCATCTATTAATTCGGAGTGAATGCTCACTGGGTGATTCAGTTTCTTGCATGTATGAAACTATTCCCCTTCGTTAAAAAAAAAACTTACTCCTTATGGAATTCCTGTTCCTATTAGGTAAAAGTTCCTTCCTTAATTCTTTGTTCTTTAACTTTTCTTTCATAGCCTCTCTTTGCTCTCTGTTCCAGAAGATCTCTCCAACTTTATCTTCCCTACCCTCTATTTATTCTTAACCATATTCATTGTAATATTTAACATTTTATTTTTAATGAAGAGGAATTTATTCAGAGGATGAAGAAACCTGGTGTCCTTTTAATTTTGCAGAGCTATCTTCTTTTGTGGATGTTCAAAGTTACCTTATGCTCTATTTTATTCTCTGTTAAGATCCTGCACTCATGCTGTGAGTCTCCACACACAGGTGGATCACTGTTTTTGACAAATTACTTTAGATATACCACCAGGTAGAGGAAATAACATGTCAAACACCTATATGTCCTCCACTTAACTCAGAAATACAAGTCTACATGTTTAGTATAGCCAAATTTCTTTGAATTTTGTCATCTTCTGTCTTACGTAAGACATTTTTTTACCAAGTTCAAAAAATTCTCAATTTTTCTCCTAAAAGTTGTATTGATATATTCATTTAGATTTTATAATCACCTGGAATTGATTTTTGTATATGGTGCTAACTAGATGCCGAGTTTTTTCCTATATGCATAACTGACTATCCCCCAGTACCCTTTATTGAATAATCCTTTCCTATCCTAATCATGCCATTAGTATTATTTCAACATTCAATGAGTACAGGGGCTTGAGATCAATATATTGTTTCATTGCACTTCTGTCCTTGTTCTAACACCACAATGTCTAAATTGCTATGGCTTTTTAAATATTAAATCTGATATCTGAGAGGGCAAGGCTCCTTACTGTATTGTTGTCCATAGTTGTCCTAGTGATTCTTAGTTATTTGCTGTTCCATATACATTTTTGATCATTTATCAGAGTCCATGAAAAACCCTACTGAGTTTTAACTGCATTTGCATTTAGTGTCTAGATAAATTGGGCAAACATGCTTAACACATTGTGTTTATTAATTTACTTAGATCTTCTTTTAATTTTCTAGTTTTCTCCATAAGAGACTAGTTCATCTTTTTTAGCTTTATTTCCAGAGGTCTTATGTTTTGCCTTTTTTGAATTAATTAAATTTATTTAGGGGAACAGTTTTAGATTT